ATTATGTGAACCATAATGCAGTGGACAATGGACATTTTGATGAATATAATTCGCTCAAAAGCAATTACAACAAAAACACCAACGTTTTCAACAACATGAGCATTCCATCCATCCATTGCCAACGTTGGATACGAATTTTAATAGAATTAAGCTAATTGCCATATAAAAGCCGTTTGGCCCCAAGGCCCCGACGGAATGAAAAGCCAATGCGAATGATTCAAATGAAAATGGGGAAAACTGATTGAAAACTGATTGTAATTCGGTAATGTGAGTGGGGAAATTTTGGCATATTTATGGGGGCTTTGGGTTGTTCCATAAACGAATTTCATTGGATTATTGTGGTGAAAGTGGTTAGGCTATAAATTTATAAATTTGGGAATAATAATAATTGTTTAAAGAAATATTTATCAACAAGTAGAGGCAGTATAAAATTGAGTTTCTATATAATATAACTGTTTTTAAAGTCACTGATATATTTAAAAAATTCTGTTAGGCAAAGTAAAAGTTGTTCAACCCTTCAAGACTTTTTATTTTCCTCTTAGCATTTATATTAAAAAATCCCCTGAAAAGTTTGGGGGAACTTCCTGGCCGAAAAATATGTTTGTGTGCACATGTTCGGACCAAGCTGAGCTCAGCAGAAAGAGCAGGCCATTTTCTTTCAGCCAGTGCTATTTCCGCTCTCTCTAGATTTTATTGAAAGCAAATATTTTTGCAAATTACATTTTCGAAGGCTGAACCGGAAAAGACGCGGCTCCAATAACCAAATTCATCTCATTTCGCTGGCCTGGCCAAAGTGGGGGCTGGTGTGGAAATATATATATATATATATAGAAGAGTCAGAGATCCTGGGCTAAAGCAATTTGTTTGATTAATTTGAACAGCGGGTAAGGAGCGACGACGAAGTGGGACGATGGAGCGACCTTCATTATGTAAATTGTATGCGAAATTTAAATAATCATCTGTAATTTAAATGCACAACAACACTTTGAGCCAAGCCTCGACAATTAATCGTTGAGGGCCCCAACACCCCCCCGAAATATCGCTTCATAAAATATGCCAAATGTGCGCCTTATGTTCATTTTCTATTTTAAGACAGATAATATATATTGCCGCCTGTTAGCATTAACTGCCTAGGCATATTTATATTTGTATGTCTGCCGTCTGTTTCTGGGATCTCTGGTGTGTCTGTGCCTGTGCTGTGCCTGTGTTTGCCATAAATAATTATTCATATTTGTATAAAATACACACAAAATTTAATTAAAAATTGTTTCGCTCCAGCCGAAAGAAAGTGGAATCATCATCATCACCATTGCCATTTCCATTTTCATTCTCTGCATTCACCATTCTCATTGCCATAATTCCCTTTGTTATTTGGACATTTGCTTACACTTGTTTTTACGTAGTATATTTCTTGTGCAAAAGGGGGCAGCTGATAGAGATGAAGTTGGTCCAAGTGAAGTGCCATTGCCATTTTGGCTCATAATAAAATTAAAACGGAATGAAACGAGATGAAAAAGTAATAAAGTCCTTATGGAAAATGCCAGCCAAGATGGTCAAAGCTTCTGTTGGCTGCTTTTACTCTTATTTGCACTGCCTTTTTCAACTTTTGTTTCTGTTTCTGTTACTGTTTCTGCTTCGGTTTCTGTTATTGTCTTGGCTTTGGCTTCAAGTCCTTGGTCCTTCGTCTGTTTCTGCCATGGCTACAAAACACTGAATAGATGAGAGCACAGACAGTAATGATAAATATGGAGGGAGTGATGTGAAATGGGGGGGATGGCCAACCCTTCTTTTGGGGCATACCCATTAAATATTATTGAAATTGCTGGGGGAGTCTTGGAGTTTATGAAAAGTAAAAGATAATGCATTAATAAATATAATAAAGTCATTTACCAAATGAATTAAGATTTTATTTACTGTTTTAATTAAGCTAGAAACTTATTTTAATGCATAATTGAAATGTAAACATCTTTACCGGTTATTTTAAATTATTATAAATTATACTTATATATTTTCTTTTAAATATTAAAAAAATACTTTAAAACCTTTTAAGCTAAAAATTTCAACATATTTCCCTAAGTTTCGTTTTATTTCAAAATATATTTTATATCAAATTCTAAATATTCCCATCTTTAGCTCCCTTTTACCAGGTATTTCCCTTGTCTATTACTTTATTATAACACCCATTATTAATTGTTTGTTGCTAGTTTATGCGCCACTGGCTTTGGCTTGTCTTTCAGCTTCTCTGTGCAAATTTTTGAAATGCCAAACCAAGAACTGGTGACCGTGTCGTTTCCCCTTTTTATATCCCCTTTTTTGTGGGGGAATCCCCCTTTCCGCTTAGATTGAGTGAAGATTTCATTTTGGGTTTGAGTTTTGGGTCTCGGTCTGGGGTTTTCATATTCGTTTTCGTTTTCCTTGTCATCGTTCGACTTGGGTTTGGGTTTCGGGCTGGCTGGCTGGCTGCTGTTGCTGCCTGCGCATAATTAAGCGGGAATCGCACTCCATTGTGAAATATACTTGGCCATTGCATTTAAGTGTTTTGCTCGTAAAAGCTACGAAATGGGATCCCTGGTATGGGGCGGCCAGACAGTGAATTCATTAAACCATTAGACAGACTCGGGCTGAAAATGGAGGCGATTAACGAAAGACGCTTTCCGGCAAAGAGCCTCCTTTACTTCGTACTCCTCATCCGAACTCTTCGCACAAATCAAACGGAAATCAAAACCCAAACAAGTAAATCAAGCAAATCCAAAGCAGAGGACAGACACAACAGCAACAAAAGGGGGGCGTGGCATGCGTCATCTGAAAATTGTTGCAATTACGTCGTAGTAAGCAACCAACAATGAGGCAGAGGCCAAACAGGGTGGCAGCAACATGGACATGGAAATAGGGGAAAAAGAAGAAATGCTGGCCGGAATTTCCATAAACACAATGGCAGTATGATGACCCCTCCTCCGGCAATTCAAATTGGTATCGCCCAGGGTTTCAAAAATCCCGGAGAGCAAACGCATGGCTACTACATCGAGAAAAATTAATATAGTATTTAGGGAAACCAAGTACAAAACTTGAAGAATTTTATAATAATTAGTTTTATTTTAAAAGTAAATTTTATTATATAAAACAATACTTGTTTTTGTATTGAACACATTAATTAAACATGGTGGAATGCCCAAGAAAATGTTGCCAGCCAAAAGTTGCTAAGAAAATGTTAAAAAACAGGCTTTGTTGCTATAAACAATTTAAAATTTGTACTATAACTTTAATGAAATTGCACTAGAATTTGGAAATATATTTTGAAATTTAAATATTTTTTTCCTGTGCATCTTTCTAACCACTGGCAGTGGCAGAAAAGTGCCGTTCGCCACCAGTTGTTGCTACGGTAAATATGGGCTGTTGTCAGCCCCTCAAATTGGGGGCGGAGCGTGCCAAGGGGTGCATACATTTGTGTGATTTACGAGCTGTCTCATATAGGCCTCGAATACGACGCTGACGATGACTGTGGCCAAACCAAACTCTGGGATCAAAAGAGAAGTTCTCATTGAACCGAATAGACAGCTCGTGTCACGAGGCTGATTAAACAGGAAAACACTGAACTTAAAAGGCAGAAAAAATATATAAAAATTTCAAATATTGATAAAAATTAATATCTAAAAAAATATTTACAACAAAAAAAGGCTACAAGGGTTTATAAAATATCTAAAATACCTAAAATCCATTAAGTAACAACAATGCCAAATGGATAATGATAATAAACAAGCCTCAACGCATTATAGTTCGAGAGAGAAAATATAATGAAATAAAGTTAAGAAGTTCGCCAAACTCTTGGCATTATTTTCTTTGTTGTTTTTTATGGGCTCCGTGATGTGATTGGCCATCTCTATTTGCGTTATGGCCCAGACACACAATGGCACAATGTTGTCAACGCAATCAGAAGCCCAGCAGTTGTTGTTGTTGGGAGTACGTCCCCCCGCCCAACTTTGTTGTTGTATTTGTTAGTTGCAAAACAGAAGTGTATGGGACAAGTGGACAAGGACTAGGACTACAAGGGGTCCTCATCCGAGGGAGGAGTCCTCCTGTCCGCCTGTCCTGTCCTGCCAGAGTTGCCTGAGCTGCCCGCTTTGGCCTGCTCTGAAGATGAATGAATGCGTCATGCTGGTCCAGTACACACAAAGAAATTTTTGAGGGGATATTATAAAGAGATGATAATATGAGATGAGATAATTCCAAGACCTAAAAGATAAACCCTCTTTGAGGTAAAGAAAAATGGTTTTATTGTTTCATTAAATCAGTTTTTACCTAGAATTTTATATTTTTTTCTCTGCATTTTAGTGGGTGGCTTGGCTGGTGGCAAAGTGGGTTACAAGTTTCAAATTGAATTGTTGGCAACACGTGACCAGGCGGACGCCTGTCGAGCCAGGGAGGCCAGAGAGGCCCGTCAATAAAGTCACAGTGAATGACAGGCTTACAAACATGGTGTACAAGTGGCAAACCCTCACTCCTAGCATTCTACCATCTCTCAAAAACCCACTGCTGCTGCTGCCTTCTTCCTGATGAATGGACATTATTAAAAACTCTATACAAAATGTTATCGCTCTTTGTGGTTTTCGGTTTTATTCGGCGAGGTTGACCGACCAGCGAAACGCAAAATGTAATTTGCGTAAAATGAGTGCGGAATTCTGTGGAAGTTGGCGCAGCTAGTTGATGTTTTTAGGGTTCTTCGCGGTGAACAAGGAGTTGAGGTTGCTATCGAAACGAATGGCATACACTAGATGAAAATCCTCAATTAAATATCCGATAGCCTCAAACTAAAAGAATTAATTGAAATGTTTTTAAAGAATATTACCTTGTTCTTGCAATAACAACCTTTAGTAACTTTCTATTATTTTATAATTTATTTTAGACGGATATATATTTTGATTGTTAACCCCTTTTTTCTCATTGTGCACTCCTCCTGCACACATTTGTCGAGTGCCTGGCGCAATCAATTCCCAAATCGCATTATGCCGCTGCCAGAAGCGAAGAGCTTGCAGCGAAGAGCTGAGGAGCGAAGTCTCCAGCAAATTGCTTGCTGGCTTTTCCAGCAGCAGGGGCAGCCGGATGCGGAGGAGGAGGAGAGTGAAAAGCGGGTAAATACTGCAGACCAGGAGGCAAAGGGGATTGCCCAAAGTAGGAGGGCATCTCGCCATCGACATCCTTCACAGCATTTGGCATTTTATGTGCGTCAACATCAGCAAGTCGCCAAGTGCATTGCGTGCCAAATAGTTTACGTGTCAGTGGCGACACGAGTTCTCGATGGGACAGAATGGATGTGGATGTGGAGGCGGATCTGTAGTCCTAGATGGTCTCTGGAAGGGGCATCTGCGATCTGTTTTGTGGCATTGTGACACTGCCCGCGGCAGATGCATATCGCAGTGCCACTACTTTATGGCATTTTGTTGCCCGTTTCTAGTCATCACGGGCATTGTCCGCACGGCAATTTCATCCCAGCAAATGCAAATGCGGAATGCAAAGTGCTTCGCGGATCAAAGTCTTTGTTGTGTCCACAAAATCGTAGGCAAAGGGCACTTTGTTGCAGCTGATAAACAACGAAATTGGAGTTTATTATGATTATTTGATTAGTCGAATTTTATGGGGAGATTGTCTTGCAGACAAGTTGGGTTGTACTGGGAAAATATGGCTTTTTGTTTGATTTTGGGATAGATTTTTTTAACAATAAATAGAACATTTTTTTTTATTTTAATACATTTTCAATAATTCCGTTATTTTAATAATACATCCAATACTTTCCTATATATAAAATATGAAAATAGCGAAGCTTTCGATATTTACATCAAGATATCTAGCGGAATATTTGTATCGATATATTATATCGAACTTTTATACCCCAAATAAACCCTAGTATCTTTATATCGATCTCTTTTGTTAACAAGTCAAGCTGACCTCATATATTATATCCCAAGCAGCACGATCAAGAAATGCGTGTGCAACCGTTGAGTGCGAAAAACTCGGCAAACAACAGGCCGAAGCCTAAATATAGAAACTTCTGTGCACGCGACACTCAAAAGCAAACACGGAGCGTATACTTAACCTTGAACTTGGGCAAACTCCAGAGACCATGCTGAAGGCTATTATTGGCAACCAGTTGGACGGTATCGAAGGGTTCGAAATAAGACTTTATTTACTAATTATTTTTAACTACAACTTTCGGCTATGGGTAGGACTATAAAATGGGATCGCGACACCAGAGAAAGACATCAGTCAGCAGCTGAGCTTTCTCCAGTATAGCTAGTTGCACCTAAAGGACTTGTCAAAGAAACTTGGTCAAAATGAAGTTAACAGTCGGCATTTTGATTGGTAATATCCTCTGTGGTCTCTTCATGTTATATCCTCAACTCATTTCGAGTGTTTTTTTCATTTTTAAGTGAGCGTTCTGCTGATCGGCAGTTCGTATGGATTGCCTACTTCGGTAGAGCTTACTCCCTGTGGTTGTCCAATACCGAAGCCTCCGCCTCCGCCTCCACCTCCACCACCTCCGCCTCCATGTGTCGATCCACCACCACCACCACCATGCAAACCAGAGCCACCGAAGCCACAGCCACCGAAGCCACAGCCACCTAAGCCACAACCACCGAAGCCAGAGCCTCCATGCGAACCGCCGAAGCCACAGCCACCTAAGCCACAGCCACCCAAGCCACAGCCACCCAAGCCACAGCCACCCAAGCCACAGCCACCGAAGCCACAGCCACCTAAGCCACAGCCACCTAAGCCACAGCCACCCAAGCCAAAGCCACCTAAGCCACAGCCACCTAAACCAGATTGCGGATGCAAGTCTTGTGGACCTGGAGGTAAGGCCTGCGAAGGATGCCCCAAACAGGATGATCTGTGCAAGGAATTGACCAAGCTCCTTAAAGACCTCGATCGCAAGATCAAGCAATGCGTGTGCGGAGTGCCCAAGTTTGCACTACCCTAAACAGGGTTCCACGCGAGACAAAAGTCCACCAATGAACCCCAAGGAAAACCAGGAACTAGATGAACGAACCAAGGATAACGAACTGATCACCTGAAAGCGATTTAATAGAGTTTTAATTTTGTTTTGTTTTCGTTTCAAAATATATGAGTAAGTGCTGCATTTTAAGTCGGTTGTTACTAATTTTTTTATGGAGTAAGTGGGTTCTGGAAGATGAAAGGATATAGCCATACTTATCTGTATCCTTATCCACACTTCCACTGCCATTCTGGGCTATTAATACTGTCCTTTTCCATTCGCTCGAACACTTGCCAAAATCCATCATCATTGAATGTCACATCATCATCGCCATTTGACATCTATTCCAGGAATCCGGATACGGATGCTGATCCCCCTCCCCCATAACCATGTCTATTCATCTGTCGCCTTCGGTAAGCGTGCACGTTTTATAATTCATTTGCAGTTCCTTCAACAATTTCGTGAATATTTCATTTGGTTTCGTGTGGTACAATTTTTACAGCTCGTTTGTCACTTTCCCACCTCGTCGTCATCGTCATCGTATTTCACATTTTCCCCAGAATTGCGCCAGCGTTTTTCCCCGCTTTCCCTTGGCCGCATGCAGCACATTGCATGAATAATGCAGTGATCCGATCTGTGGGCGGAATCTGTCACAGAACAGATACACCTGACGAGCATCGGACTCGAAACTTGTATGCATACTTATGCATCCAATAGATACATTTGCCGGCAAGCAGCTTAGACGATTACCTAATTGGCTAATTGTAATTGTATTCATTAGGTACGGTACAGGTATTAGGGCTTCATAATCTATCAATTAATTGGGATTCAGGTTCAGGAGCTTGTTGGGAGTAGTTAGTGCTAAATGAATAATGGATATTGATTGATGAATGATTAATAAGTTGTATGGGCAATATAATTTAGGTATTTTTAGTTAAAGGATACTTCATTGAATGTGTTAAGGTAATTACCCATTTTAGAGTGCCTTCGTTGGCTTCTTTTATCCGATTTCCAATAACCAATCGTAGCTGTAAGGTAACCAGCTACATAAGCGTAGGCTTTACTACATTCATTCATTACTGAACTACAAGCAGGAGCAGAAGCAGGAGCCATGAGCCAGGAGTAGCATCCAATCAGCCTCAGATTATTTCGTAGTAAGGCACACAGGACCTGTTTTCTGTGCTTCCTGAGCCCAGTTGCATTGCACAATTCCAAACTGACTGTCGAAATGAGTTGAGACGAACTAAGCCCCTTGGGCGATTTTCATCATGCCATTTTATTTCACCTTTTTTCCCCCCAGAAAGCTTTTCAAGCTAGAAAGAATCAGCACTAACAAAAAGTTTGGTAAACTTGAAATTATTTCAATGTTAGTTTTTATTATATAAGTAAGTTGCTTATATATTCAAGAAAATTTCAAACAAAGATCTCTGAAAAAGAGAACTAGTTAGTTTGTGGCATTGTCTCTTAGATAAATTATGAAAAATATACTTTGTTTCCTAAAATATCCCTAGTATAAGTCTGATAATCTCGATTCTTGGTGCTCATATCCCCAGTCACAGTGTCTTTTGCTCTTACTTTTAATTTCGAATGTTGGCCAAACACAAAGTTTGTCATGACTTGCCAAATGGCATCTCCCTCCTGGATGGTAACTCCTTCAACTAGCACTACTTCCATCCCAATATCTCTCATCTCCCCCTCTGAAGATCATGTATAATGCATGCAACTTTGGTGCTATGCAAGAGCCAAACCCTCAAACCAAAATTCAGCCAAATGTCGATGGCTGTCAACGCAACTTCGATGCGGAGCAAGAGACAATGTAACTCAAAACTAGACACTGTGTTGTAACTTCCAGGGGATACCAATGACGATTCCAAATTCCCAACCTGCCCAAGTAACGTTGTTGTGCAACAGAAACTGCAAAACTGCAATGACTGAACGATTATGCCAATGGCAGGCCATGTCCAAAGCAAACGATTTGTCACAGTGGCAATGGAGTTGAGTCGGAGTTCTATTCGTCGGAGTTAGAGCCGGGGGAAGGCTGCGAGTCTCAGAGTCTCGGGTTTTATTGCCAATAACAGGGGGGAGATCCAGAACCGCAAACACTTTACCCCAAATTGTGGGAGAAACAGAGAGAGAGAGAGAGAGAGCAGCAGCAGAGAGAAGTTTCTCCAGGGAGCTAGAATGCGAGCCAAGGGAGCTTGCACAGAGAGAAAAGGGGTTTATTTTTGAATGGTTTACATAATTGTAACATTATATATGTTACACATAAAGTTTTAATAATAAGTAGTATAATAATTAATTTTTATAATGGATTTTCAATTTATTTCCCATATTTTTTTTATCCAGTGCATTTGCCCCACCGTGTGGGCGGGCTCCGTTGAGTGGCCCAGCATCCCGCTTCGATTTCAAAACTCCAGCTGCGACAACTGTAGGTTTACCTCCTTCGTCTACTCCCCCCCTGGGTTTTCCTCCCCCTTTTTCCCCAGCTACTCGGAACATGACACCAAGTCCAAAGTCGTTGGCTGTTCATCCTTTTTCATCCCGACCAACCCAACCGACCGACCGCCCGCCCTGTCTCTCTTTTCCCTTTCGCATGTCCTTGCCGCCTTTGCCCAGCTGCAAGTGACAGTAATTGTTTTATTGACATTGATTGACATGGCAAAAATGGGGAGGCAGCGGCAGCAGCATCCAGCAGGAGCCGGGAGCAGGACCAAGTGGAGAAGCCGTAAAGGAAGCATCAGCCAAGTCAAGCCAAAGACAAACTGCAATGCCAAATGCGAATTTCAATCCCAATTTTTGGTATCTGCTCGTCGTCGTCCCCCCTCTCGAATCTTTTATCCCCCATTTGCGAAGCTCAAAAATGAGCAAAAGATTTCAATTTCATTTTGATGGATCGCATTTACAGGCGAACCACCATGGCCCTCCCCCTACCATCCCACTTTTCCTTCATTCATGGTGCACTTTTTGGCTTTTTCTCCTCACTCTCTTTCTCACTCTCTGGCTCCTCTTTTTTCGCCATTGTTTACCCTTGTAAGCTGCTGATTAAACCATGCAATGCTGCAGCTTCTTTTGGCTTTTCCTTGTGCCTTCCTCCGCTTGTTCCAGCAGATTTTCCTTCGGCTTTTCCCAGCTACTCTAGCAGCTGGTGGAAAACAACACATCAATTGCTGGGTGTGCCGGTGTACAATGCATGTTGTGTGCCATTGTAGAAAAGACAATTGTTTGATTTTCGATATGGTTTTTCAGACATTGCACTGGGAGAAAATTAATTAAGATATTTAATTATGGGATTTATGATGTATTTATCATTTATTTATATTTTTTTTAATATTCCGGAACAAAAAGTAATAACTTAGATTTATAAAAACTGTTAGTTTTCTTTGTTTTGATTCAGATTCTTTTTTAGAAAATATTTTTAGCATTTGTAAGTAGAAAAAACATGTAGAGTGTTTAAATCCATGAAAAAGGGAATTGTTTTGTAAAAACTCAATCAAATTTACAATTTAGTTGTACTTTTTAAATATTTTTATATAATTAAAGACACTTTTTTAAGGGATTTCATAATACCCAGTGGTTTCTATCATATTCTAGAAGGGCTTTTTAAATTACTGGGATTTTTAAAACCCTAAATAATGTTTTTAAAATTATGTAATAAAGTATTTTTGGTATCAAATTCTGTGGAAATTTAGTTTTTGTTCACTGTGTAAAATGTTTGACATAATCTGAGATACTTTCCCAAAGGTTTTAAACAACCTAGTGATTTCTGTATGACCCTCAATATATTTTATTAATTTCTTTGATATTTCCTCAACTAATTCTTGCTTCTTAATATTTTTAATACATTTTCCGCAGACCTCATAATTTTCTTTCGTGTAACGGAAGTTCACCGTCATTCTCAGCCTTCACTGCACTTTTCTTTTCCGCCTGCGAATGCGGATGCGGATACGGATTAGTCGTTGTGTAATGCACATCAATCCCGAAGCCAGAGACCTTCAAAGTTATTGAAGTTTTCGCCTTCACATCGCAACCTAGCATCCATTTTCCTTTTCATTTCCATTTGTTGTCATGGCAGCCGTGACTCGTCGGCAGCTCCTTGGCATCCCTCGCATCGTTCAGCTCCCTGCTCTTGTTTTTCATATTAATTATGAAAGCACATTTGCTGAACGGGAAATTTATTTGGCTTATATTTCGATTTTGGTTTTGCTCGATTTTGCCTCGACTTTTATTCCTTCCTCTCTTTTCTTTTTTTGCAATATTATTTTTGCTGCCATTTGCGGATACTCGGGGGAGCGAGGTCGAATTGGATGTGAAATGTGATGCTTAATTAGTTTTTATGCTACTGCTGCTGCTGCTGCTTCTTCTGCTGATTATTATTGCGATTACGATGATGATCCTGATCCCGATGATTACGCTGATGAAAAAGTGACAGGAAAGGGCAAAGGGATGTCTTTCCGCATGTATTCAGCTTAGTTTCCATGGGTTTGCCTCATTTAGCAGGGTTTGTAAGCGGATTTCTAAGAAATTTTAAGGAGCGGGGAGTGTTATAATTGAAGGGGGTTCCTTAGTTGTACTGTAAATATTTTATTTCATTTTGGTGAAGGAAAAAATAAACCTAAATTTGATTATAGACAAAAAATATGTCAAGATTATAACACAGAAATTATCTGGCTTTAATGTTTACCTATAAAAAGAGGAAATCCTTTACTCTAAAACTCTCTTTCCACAAGGTTCCTTCAATTTATTTGAATATATATATACCCACCTTTATCTTTAAATGTGTTTCATGAACTTGAGCTTACTTTCCCAAGAACTTCTCATATATTTATATGTTTTTGGAATTTGTTCTGGATGGACCTTTAACAACTTACGCCGAGGGCCCTTTTTTCTAACCTTCCTTTCTGCTTGTGCTTATATGTGTATTTATTTAAATGTAGTCACAGTTTTCTGTTCTATGCAGAAAATGCTAGCAAAAAGATCTGCCGTCGACAACACACAACTTTGGCCAACTGATAAGGGATGGCAACAGGAAATGTCGGGGAAATGTGGAAAATGGGTAGGAGACAGGCGGGGAAATGTGTTGCACTACGGTCAAGTTGGTTATAAGAAAGGGACAAAGTACACAAAAAATAATAAAAGATAAAGGGAAAGCATACAAAAATTATAAATAAAATATTTATAAAACAAAAAACCCAGAAATTAATTAGTAAAATTTATTATATTCATTTATTGTTTTATTGTTTTGATATTTTTATATATTTATATTTTTTCTCTCTGTGTACAAAACTGTCGGTGCCAACGATAAAGTTGCAGTCTGCTTTGCCATAACTTGAGTGCATAAATCTTGGCCAGGTTTTGTATGTGAGGGTGTGTGTGTGTGGGCCGAGCAACCAACCCTCCCCCCCCCACTATAGGTGACATCTTTGGTGACTGGCACGTTAAAGTAGCCAAAACTCAGCTCCACACTCCACTGACCAATGTCCAGACACTGCATAATAAATTGCAGCCGTAGTGTTATAAATATTCTGCCAGCCCCGCGTCGAGTCCTGGCCGCCCAGTCCTTGATTGGGATCTTAGGCAACAATTTCGCACATGGCCCATGTACTGGAGGAGGAGGAGATTTTTGGAGGGGACAAGGCTGAAATGCTGACGCAGCTGATAGAAAATGAGAAAACAATAAAAACGTAATGCAGGGATATTTTTTTTGTTGTATATTGCGAGGAAAATTGAAGAATGATTTAATACTCTTTTGAGAGGAGAGTAGCCTGAAAATGCTAAGATTAATAAGGATTTTATTAAATAAATAAATTAATTAAAAGAACTTTTTAATGAGACTTTTTGCTTTAAGCAAAAGGTTTTAAAAACTTTAATATATACTTAAAATGTTAAAATTAATTATTTTTTTAATAGTTTTCTTATAAAATCCAATCACAATCTTTTTAAGTTTATTTTCCCATTTCCCCGAACATATTTCTTATTTTCCGAGTGGCAATCCCACTAAAAAGTGTTAAATGGAAAACAATAATAATGCAGTTGCTGTCGCTGTCGTTGTCGCTTTTCCCCAGTCACTTAACCTCCCACCCACCCACAATTTCCACTGTCGGACAAGCCCATTAAGGGAAAAACGAAAAACGAGGCCGAGGCGGTGGTGCGGATTTTCCACCTTACCACCAAATATGCGGCGACAACAATAAATTAATGCGATTTATTGCCGCGATAAGAACGGGACAGCCGGTAACAGGCCTAGGGACCTGGGAAATAATACCCAGGGTGTCGAGGGTGCGTCCCCTTTTTTTTTCCACAGTACCACAGAAGCTCTGGGGCAACGTGTGTGGGCTTGCCCGGAATGCGATAGATAAGCCGGCGCCACCCGGAAAAACCCTCCCATCATTACTACACCCGCCTCCTCTTTGGGTGGCATGCAAAAATTTGTCCCCATGAAAATTTACGATGCATTGCAGCCTAAAAACAAAAAACAAAAAAATTACACAACCCAAAACCCGCCCAAAAGTACGAACCCATCTTTAACCCATCCAAGTCCGCAGATAAGCCGACTTACTTACCATTTAATTAGGGCCTCAATGGGCATTAGGGCCAGAAATGCGGCAAAAGCAACTCGAGGCACGCCTCCTGTCTGGCCCATCATCAAAATGCTTTTTTAATTAAAACCCAAAGAAGGGCGAGAAAAAAAAACAAACAGGGAAAACGGGAGAATTTTCCGCAGCCAAATGATGTGTGAGAAGTCGATAGAGAACGACGACGACGGCGACGGCGTTAAATCACAATGGCAAACAGGAAGAAATTTTTGGGAGGCTCAGAAAATTCAGGAAGCAGCAGCAGGGAAGAGGGGGAATCCCAAAAAACCGACAAGGGTGAACCATGTTTTTCGGTGGAGCGGGGTAAGCAGGAATGCAAAGCGAGGCTGGAAAATCTTGTGTGAAAATTTGTTGAGCGTGCAAACTCGCTTTTCTCGGTCTGGGAGATGTCTGGTCCAGGGGCAATAATTGCATGAAATGCCCAGAAAAATATATTTCTGCTGAGAGCCGCACAAATCGTTCTTAAACGGAAAGAAAAATTATAGTAAATTGTCTTAAGAATTGTTTTTGTTAATTAAGGATGCAAATTTGTATTAGAAACTAGATAACTAATTATATTTGTGTGCCAAAATGTTTATAACTTCTATAAATTATTTACTTCAAGTTAAAATTAAACTTTTAACAATTTACATATTTTATTTAATATTTTATATATTTTTTTAAAATTATTATTTACTTTTAAAAATAGTTTTTCTTGTTACAAACGTTTCATAAATACTTTTCTTTCTTTTAAAAATAATATATAATAATATTACCATATTAAGTAGACCATTTTTTTCAGTGCATGGCAGAGGCAGTGCGGTAGCTGGTTACTGGTAACTGGTCCCGTGCCAGACGCTAAGCTGCCACTAAATCACAACCGAAAGCCGCTGTTAAAACACGAGTCTGCCCCCGGAAAACTCGGGGAAACTCGGTTGGTGGTTGCTTTGGCTTTGGCTTGGGCTTCGGCTTGGGTTTTGTCTATTGGTCCCCCTGTTCTTGGTGAGTTTTTATTTTTTTTTCGGTGGTTGCAACAGCCGCTGGCAGGACACGTGCAACACCCGGGATACCAAGGCGAGGGTTAGGGTTTTTTTTTTGGTCTGGGGAACTGACTGACTGACAGCCGCATCAGCATCTGCAGGAGGGAAATTAGAGGAAAAGGAGCCAAGAAGCCCGAGGCCAATCCTCCGAGTAACTGACACTCCCCACAAGATTTGATTAGAGGTAGCGGGGATCGGGGAAGGAGAGCGCGAGCCGTCGCCCTTTTCGATGCTCGTTAAATGCGCCCAAAAGTGATTCAATCCCGGGGGTTAACTTTATTCGATGGCAGACCCTCTTTGCTTTCCCACCTGTGCCCAGCGTTGAGAAAGAACATTTTTTCCCTTTTCATAAACATAATATAACCTAATTTGATTGGGTTATTCATAGTTATTCAAGGAGGGTTTTCTGCGGAACCTTCTTGAGTTGTTTATCTATGTCTTGAAACGATTAAAAATTAAAAGGGGAAATTCGAATTCAAAATTGATAAACTTTGAACTATAATATAATCAGATAATATTTTTTCAATACTTGGTTATTAAGGCTTGTAATTGCATTCATACTAATATTATAAATATTTAATATCCATAGATATCACATCATTTTATACAATTATAATACAGCTATTATATGTTCAATAAGCATAACAAAATACTCATTTTCGGTTATTTAATTCGCAGTTTTCACGATCATTTAACAGTCACAATGTTGCGCAAGTGTTCTACGTTTCTCCGCGTTTTTCTGATTATTTCTCTGATCGGTTAAGTAAGTTTTTATGCCTTAATTCCTAAAGCTGTTACCCATCAATCCCTTTCTTACCCAACATATTCTCCGACTATGAGTTCACAAACATTAAGTGCACTTGTTTTGATGAATCCTTCTGCTCCTTTGAATACTGCCTCTTGAAGTCTGTGAATCGAACCTATAAATATGGATCCTTGAAAGTGACATTGCATCAGGGGCCCGCCGATAAAATCAAAGAATGCTATAAATTCTTGATGAAATAATATATTTTAACTTATTTGAATTTCAATCGCAGGCTAATTTTGCCATTTATAAAAGACTCAATGGTTATAAGCCATATCTGTATAATGTCACAGTTGATGCTTGCAAATTTATAGATCATCCTAGTTCATCACCAGTGATGGCATATATTTTACAATTTTTTTTTCACAGTTTTCCGATATAAATCATTCTTGTCCCTTTGACGTAAGTAGATCGAAGTAGCTTTAAATTGAATGTATTTTCCAGAATGTTATAGTTAACAAAGTATCCATTGCGCATATGAACAAACAACTGACAAAGGTCTTGCCATTTCCGAAGGGCGAATACGGATTTTGCTCTAAGTGGTATATCTATGGGGAGATGAGGGCCAGCGTTAATGTTTATGGAAGTCTAACATAGCTTGAGGTTTGATTATTTAATCATTTCCAAAAATCACTGCAATTGAAATTGGAATTATATATAATTATACTTTAATTGCGTGGCAGAAAAAATTGCTGCTATTACAAATATAATTATATAAATTTATAAATTTCACTGATTTGTTATTTTAAATACCAGTAAAGTTTAAAATTTTTATTTTCTCAAATCTATTATATGGTAGTTTTTCTCGCACAAATCGGTTACAATTTTTCCTATACAATAGGCATATACAACGTTGATAAGGGACTCCTTCTGTGTGTCCCCTATTCGAGAGGTTTGTTTAGGGACCCGAAGCGCCCTTATAGATCTGACACATTCCGTATGTCCACGCCCATTTCCTCAAATCTCGTGCCGTCCGTTTCAAAGTAATCCCCATCCTCGTTATCGGTATCGCACAATGGCTGATCTAGGCTGTTCCTACGATTCCGGGAAAATCTGCCCGGCTTCCTAAGCCCGGCAATTGCTCTCTTGAAGCTAACCGCCTTCTCGTTTCTACGGTTTTCATCAGCCAGTGGAATTAACCATCGATGGGTGACATTGCCAAGGACCACCACCAGTACAACGGCGATGAGCAGGTATAGCACTATCAAGGCCGGATTGGGTGAACTTCCGTGAACGGGCATATGTCCAGCAATATCGTCGGGATCCACTTTCCAAGTAATGCGTTTCTTCATGAGCTCATTGATGCTGACTGTAGGATGTAATTAATTGTTTTTTTTGTATTGTATTATGAAATATTGATAATATTAATATTCTTACTTGTAATAGGTTTGTTGTCGGTTGTAATAATGTGTTCCTTTGCTGGTGTACTTGCTGTTATTGTTGTAACCACTTTTTTAGTTGTTAGTGACTTTGGTGTAGCTGTTGTTGTGTTCACTGGCATTTTTTTCGTTGTTTTTATTGTGGGCTTAGGAGTTGTTGAAGTAGTTGTTGTTGGTTTAGTGGTTATAACAATTGGCTTTCGTGTGGTAGTAGGAGTTGTGGTAGGCTTTGGTGTAGTTGTAGTTGTTGTTGTTGTTGTAGTTGTAGTTGTTGGAATAGTTGTTGGAATAGTGGTTGGTATAGTGGTGGGCTTAGTAGTTGGTTTAGTGGTTGGTTTAGTGGTTGGTATAGTAGTTGGTATAGTTGTTAGTTTAGTGGTTGCAGGTGTTGGTGAAGTTACGTCATAATCACTGGGTGATGTATAAATCCCCTTCACACACTCCTCGACATAGTCCAAGCAACAATTGTCGAAGATCGTGCAGTCATCATCACAGCCACAGCCCAAGGCTATTCCTTTTTTGGTGAACACAATTATCGCTTCCGGGCTTATCGCTTGACCGCACCGACCGGTGCAGTTCATCATGGAGAAAACCAGATCCGGCTCGGTAGCGTCTGTTGTCTCCGTCGTTGTGGTGAACTCTCCCACTCCACAATCCTTGCCAGTCATCAGCTTAACGTCGTCGATGGCAATATCGCCGAATCGGGATCGGGCATCCGTGGCCGTGAAGATCACCTGGAAGTCTTCCTGCATCTCGTCGATGGTGATCGTGTGCTCCAGCCACTCGGCTCCCTGGGTGCCGGTCATCTCAAATTTGCTGGAACTGAAAACGAGAATGTGTAAAGTTTTATTCACTTAATCAGGGAAAACTTAGAAACGTTTCTTCAAGCTGCAAGTTAAACGTTAATATTCATGGAGTGTTCTTATCGCAGGGCACATCCGCTGCCGAGAGACTCACTTGGCCCTGAATCGGTTCCACATGGTAGCCATCGGCATCGAGACTGGCTTCACGGACACCACCAGGCTGTCTACTCCTTCGCCGTACATAAAGTAGTGGAAGCGGAAGCAGCAGGCGGTCTTCAGGCTCAAGGCCCTGGGATAGATCGGCGAGATCAGGTGGTAGCTTCCAAAGGCACCACTCTGCGTCTCCATGCGCATGTAGTGGCCGCCGGAGTGGTTCCGGAAAGTGTGATCGTGCTGGGGTCCAGTCTTCGTCGAATGAAAATCGACCACCGTGCTGATTCGCTTCCAGGGACGCCGGAATGTCGTCTCCGTGTCCCAGCCGCACTGATCCTCGCTCTCAAAATCGCAGGAGTGATCCTGGGTATGGTTGCTCCTGAGGCAAGAGCCCAGCTGCGTGTTCCACTGCTCTCCATCGCAGTAGGCAGCACGACTGCCCACCAGGACATAGCCGTCGTTGCAAACGGTCACCGCCTTTGGACCAAGATTGAGCCTTATTCCGTTCCTCTGTGAATCCTGATCAGGACAACCACTTTCTGTGGAAAAAACATGAATATTATAGCTGAGATTACTATGGATATTCCTTCACTCACTGGCACAAAAAGGTCTCTCGCCCCTGAGGCGTCCATCCCGATCGCAGGTCGCAATCGAACTTCCCAGGAGCGTATAGCCGCGATTGCACCGGAAACGAACCACATTTCTACCGCGAAACATTATGAGGCCATGCTCCAGGACCAAACCCCTCTCACAGCGTCCATTTGTGGGATCTGCACCGTATATTAGGAGCAGGCCGAGACCGAGGACCCAGTGAACTTCCATTCCGTGGCAACGTGTGGATAACTCAAAAGCGGAAGAGTGACTGAGCTCGAGCACGGACTTATCAATAGAACCCAGCGCCGGCTTGGGCTTCTCTTTGAAGATACGACTTTTTCTCGATAATTCCCTGTCCGGGCTACTTGTTGTTTACAGCCGAGTGAGAGAAGAGAGATATGGTGACGAGTGGCTACGAGTGGGTTTCTAAGTACCAAGTTCTCGAGCGATTGCAAAATGCCGGGTGGCCTGGTCTCCGGATCCGCATAACTCTGAAGATAAGACCTTTGTCGCCGTTCATTCAGAATTCACTGTAGGTCAGATAAATGTATTGTATAATGCGAGAAAGCAAGCTGTAATTATAATGCAATAAGTGACAGCTGACCTTGAGATTTTATTATGCAAAATTGTGTAGAAGGCTTGATAAAACTATAAAGCTGAAATTTCGAAATGAATGCTCTCTAAACAAATATTAACTTATCACAATTTAGGAATTTTTTAATGCTCTTTATTAATTTTATTGGCTTATATTATTAAGCCCACATTATTATAACTGCCAAACTAATCAAAGGCAAATTAAAAGTATGCAACTTATTTATATTTATTGTGCCACTGTGCACATTAGGTTTGGGTAGGCAAGGATCCCTTACGTCAAAAGTTTCCTTACATTCTTCTGGAGTAGTTGTTTGTATATTTGGTTGAATAGTTGTTTGATCAGTTGTTGGTATAGTTGTTGGTATAGTCACAGTTGTAGGTGAAGTTTCACCATAATTATCGGACGATGTGTATATTCCCTTTACACACTCCTCGACATAGTCCAAGCAACAATTGTCGTGGATCGTGCAGTCATCATCACAGCCACATCCCAAGTCCAGTCCTTTTTTGGAGAACACAATAATCCTTTCCGGGCTTATCGCTTGGCCACACCGACCGGTGCAGTTCATCATGGAAAAAACCAGCTCCGCCTCGGTAGCGTCAGTTGTCTCCGTCGTTGTGGTGAACTCGCCCACTCCACAATCCTTGCCAGTCATCAGCTTAACGTCGTCGATGGCAATATCGCCGAATCGGGATCGGGCATCCGTGGCCGTGAAGATCACCTGGAAGTCCTCCTGCATCTCGTCGATGGTGATCGTGTGTTCCAGCCACTTGGTGCCCTGGGAGCCCGTCATTTTAAATTTGCTGGAGCTAAAGGCGAGAAGAGGTCAATTTTTATTTACTTATCTAGGGACATTTTTTTTAAAAGCTGCAAGAATAATATTTTGTGCTATTATTTAGTGCACATCCGCTGCTGAGAAACTCACTTGGTCCTGAACTGGTTCCACATGGTAGCCATCGGCATCGAGACTGGCTTTACGGACACCACCAGACTGTCGACTCCTTCGCCGTACATAAAGTAGTGGAAGCGGAAGCAACAGGCGGTCTTCAGGCTCAAGGCCCTGGGGTAGATCGGCGAGATCAGGTGGTAGCTTCCAAAGGCACCCCTTTGCGTCTCCATGCGCATGTAGTGGCCACCGGACTGGTTCCGAAAGGTGTGATCATGTTGGGGTCCAGTATTCGCCGAATGGAAGTCGGCCACCGTGCTGATTCGCTTCCAGGGACGTCGGAATGTCGTCTCCGTGTACCAGCCGCACTGATCCTCGGTCTCAAAATCGCAGGAGTGATCCTGGGTATGGTTACTTTTGATGCAAGTGCCCAGTTGCGTGTTCCATTGCTCTCCATCGCAGTAGGCAACCCGATTTCCCATCAGGACATAGCCTTCGTGGCAAAGGATCTGCGACCTTAATTCAAAATAGAACACAACTCCGTGTTCCTTTGTATCCTGCTCCGGGCAACCACTCTCTGTGGGAAAAAGAGGAAAATTATTACAAGAATTTTATAGCTGAGATTACAGTGGATATTCGCCACTCACTGGCACAATAGGGTCTCTGGCCCCTGAGGCGTCCATGAAGATCGCAGTTCGCAATGGAATTTCCTTGGAGCTTATATCCGCGATTACACCGGAAAGTAGCCATAATTGCATCCCTAAATACTGTGATTTCTCCATTCTCCAGGACCACACCGCTGCCACAAACTCCATCTATGGGATTGACCCTGTATATCAGGAGCAGCCCGAAACCTAGGACCCAGTGAAATTCCATTCCGTGGCTACATGTGGATAACTCTAAAGCGGAAATGCAACTGACTTATTCATTGAACCCAGTGCCGGCTTGAGCTTCCCTTTGAGGAAGCGTTTGTATTCCAATTAGACCCTGTACAAGCTTCTTATTTGGCACCGATTAAGAGAAACTTTTTGATTTTAAATTCTCGAATGTTCGCAAAATGGCGAAATGGCCTTTTCTCAGAATTCACTGTAGCTCAGAGACTTCTATTAAAAATTGCGAGAAAGCTATTTGTCATATGTTTTTGATAACTTGTTTATTTATTATTTGAAGCTGATATTACAAAATTTAATTCTATATAAACCTAAATATTTAATTATTACGATTTAAAAATGTATTATATATTTTACTGGTATTCTGCTGCGTAGAGGGGCTAACATTTTTTATTTATTAACATTTTTTAGCCCTGTAATTATAACTGCCAAACTAATTAAAGCTAAATTAAAATAATGACAGGTATTTGTGTTTTTCGTTCCACTATTCACAGTAGTTTTGGGTAGACAAGGATCTTTTACGACAAAAGCCTCCTTGCATTCCTCCTGCGTCTCCAGGAACTTGACATCATCGATGGCAATGTCTCCGAAACGGGACTGGGCATCCGTGACTGTGAAGATTATCTGGAAGTCTTCGTTCATCTCAGTGATAGGAATAGAGTGTTCATACCATTTGTTGCCCAGATTTCCGCACTTTTGGAATTGAGTGGAGCTGAAAATTAACGAGTATATATTTTATTAATATTTTGTTATTCTATATTTTTCGTTTTCTTCTTACTTTTTCTCAAACTTCTCCCACATCTCAGCCACAGCCATAGAGGCAGGTTTTATCGACACAAACAGACTTTCAACTCCTTCGCCGAACATGAAAAAGTGAAACTGAAAGCAGGTGGTATTTCCCAAGCTCAGATGCTGCGGATAAACTGGAGACTCAAAATGGTAACTGCCCGTAACTCCACTCTGGGTCTCCATACGGATAAAGTGCCCCTCGTTGTCATTCTGGAAGGTGTGATCCCGCTGGGGACCCGTCTTGATGGAATGAAAGCTGGACGATGTGCTAATGCGGCTCCAAGGTTGAGGTTTACTATGAGGAAAAGTCCAACCGCAGAGATCCTCCCGCTCAAAGTCACAGGAATAGTTTTGGGTTGCTTGGCAAGTTCCTAAACGGATTTGCCAGTCGTTGCCATCGCAATAAGTGTATTTATTGCCAAACAAAACGTAGTCTTTGTCGCAGTTGATCTCTGCCTTAAGGCCTTTCGGGTTTATTAGCTTTCCATTTTTCGGAGTCTCAAGTTCTTTACAGCCAGTTTCTGATGGAGAGGGATTAAAAGTTATATTTATTAAATATTTTGTTATTTGAAGCAGTATTTCTTGGCATTAAGGTATATATTATTTTATTTTTTTAACCACTCACTGGCACAAAATGGTCGCTCTCCTCTTAGTAAATCATTAATGCAGGTAATCTCTGATCTCCCTTGAATTTCATATCCTTGATCACAATCAAATATCCATCTATTCTTGGGAAAATTCCTGACAGAGCCATGTACCAGGTCTGTGGGTCTCTCACAAAACCCAAGGGCTTGGTGAATAGTATACGCAAATATCGCTGACACAGCGAACAAAAATTTCATTGCGACGACAACTACAAATCTCAAAAGTTAAACACAGACTGAGAGCTGTGACCAAACATATTTTATTGATAAGCTAAAGGCACTCTTAAGATATTCACGTTGGGTAAATGATTTCGTCACGTTGTAAATAATTTTATCATACTTATTTTTATCTTTAAGCTGAGTTTATTTATAATTATTTTATGAGAGAATGTTCTAGAGTCTTCCAGAATTTAAAGAGCTGCTGATTTGGGAAGATTTCCCCCTTTTTAAGGTATTTCCCTGACCCCCCAAACACCCAGATAAACCCCAGAGATCCCTGGACTTTGGCTTGCTCTCATCTTATACCCCCTAAATCAGAGTCATCTAGATATATATAGATATATCTCTGTCCACAAATCAAATGGTAATCCCAGTGATTGATAAAATCATCGTTTAGAGTTCATCCCCCGGAGTTACACCGCTAAGCTAAGGAGCTAAGGAGTGCAGCTGGGAAAGGCAGCGGGTGGCCATTCAAATGCAATTATGCGCATCTCCTGCCGGAATCGAGATGGCAGGGAGATGGAACTAAATGGTAGCAGCTTCTTCCTGTCGCCTGCCATCTGAAATTATTGCCATCTCCTGGCAAAATAATTGCAGGGACCGAGGGAAGAGTAGCGAAGAGACCTTCCTGCTATCTGCTTCACCATCGCAGCAGTGATTTATGTTTACTTCCGCTTAAGTCTCAAACAACTCGCAATCACGACTGCCCGATTTCTCCATTTCTCCCGCGTGCGCGTATTCCCTCCCTCTTTCGCCGTGTCGAGATAATCAGTCAATATTGACAACTACTTATTGGCACTTCCGCCGGCGGGGGTGGTGGGTGTTATTTTGAATGGGGTGTCCTTCGGGCGGGTGGAGGTTTACCAGATTCAGTTTGGGTCTGAAGGCCGGCCACGTGACCGGGGATCAGGAGCAGAGGCCACGTGTCCATCGACTGCAGCGGAAAGTGTAGCCAATTCCCAGTCTCCGTTTCTCCGTTTCTCAATTCTCCGCTTGCAATTCAAATTTCATTCATAATTACAATCAGTGAAGCAGTGAGTGGATTGGAGGGGGCAGGCAGCTCCAGAGAGGGTTGGAATTCAAGGGAGGTTTCGTGCCCATCAGAGTCGAGATGCTTCTTATCGAAGGGGAAGGGTATTTGCTACACAGGGAAAAATATAGTGAATATTAAATATATATTTAAATAAAAAAATAATCTTGGGATGGTAAAAAATCGTTATATTCCCTCTGCACCGATATATAAAATAGAAAAAAAAATTAATAAAATATAAATATTTATAAATATATTCTTTTTGATACATCAGACTATTATATTAATATAATAATAACAATATTTTATCGATATATACAAGTTTCTGATATTTAAGAAATATTTCCCTTAAAAGATCTTATTTAAAAATAATTTCAAGACTGTTTAAATATTTATTTCTCACTGTGAACCTCTGTCTCAGATTATGTGTTCTAGCCAGCACTCCTCTCTTTTTTTCTCGCCGTGTTCCCCTTGGCTCTGCTCTGTGATGACTGTGCCCCGGCTGCTGCTTAAATATTTGCTCATTATTATTATTATTCTTTTATTTGTGGCTCTGCTCACTCGCTTGCTACTGTTGCCGGTGGTTTTGAAACTTCAATATTTGCGCTCAAATTACGCTCAGTCCAACCACCAAAAAATGCTGCCCAGTTGCCTGGCAATACCCATTTTTAGGGCAGGCTAGAAGCCAACTCGCATGGTGGAAATCACACTCCAAGGGGTACCAGTGAAAGTGGCCCAATATCGTTGGCCAGGATTAGCGGCAAATGAGCAGCTGTTGCCAGGGAAAGACCGCTTCCTACTCCACGGAACAGTTTCCATAAAAAGGTTGAAAGTTCTGGGAAAAAAAGGCCCTGGCATGGCAACGCAGATAATCAAATCAAATTGGTATATTTTTTGCTAGTTATTTTTGTGATATTAATAAAGCTGAGTAAGCTCCTAGCTCTTCAATAAAGCCAATTTAGGTAAAGAAACTCTTGAGATCGATCTATTAGTGCCTTAATCTTCAAGCAAATCATGTATTTAGGTAGGCAATAAATAAATTAATAAGACATTAGATTAAATTAAACCAAAACTTGACTTCCTGATCATCAGCTGTACTCCTCCTACACACTCCTCAGAGCCTCCTATGTTGCCTTTGCATATGCCAAAACCTAATTGGGTTTAGTGGGAACTTTCTGCCACCCCCTCAGTTTTCTCTGTGTGTGTGTGTAGGCGGATTTTTGCGCCAAAAACTGGCACACACGTTCGAGTTAACGCAATTAATGGAGGCGCCTCTACTTCTAAAAGATGGATGGATGGGAGGCCACGCCAAATGCCAACAGACAAAAGTTGGATTTCCCCAGGAGTTTGCCGGCAACTTCAAAGATTACGTCGATAATTAATAAAATTAAACACAAAAGCACTCAACACACACACACACACACACACACACACACCACCGCAGACAGAAGAGGATGCCTCCGGATTTGGCCAGGACTCCACCGGCATGGAGGCGCGACATGGAGGCTGAGCTTAGCGTCCGGCTTTTGGGGTTCGTGCAACATTAGGCCGCCGCAGGCGTGCCAAGTCGCTCTGTGGTCAGCTTCTGGTCGCATTAATTACAAACCAATGACCGCAGAGCACACACACACACACGCGCGTATATATATACACACACAAACACAGACCAAACCGAATGGGAAATGGTGCTGGGGCAGTGACCTGGAAGGAAGGGGGTTGCCAGGGGCGGCTAGGTACCCCCCAGAAGGATTTTCTAGGACTAGGAATGGGGTAATTTACTCTTAAGTGAAGGAATTAGGTATTGATTTGGGAAAGAAAAGCTGTTAAATATTATATAAAATATATAGGTATATTTATAAAATATAAAAATAAAAAGAAAACGTTTATTTCTAGGAAAATATTATTTATTTTAAGCTTCTTTTAAAAACAAGTTATACAATTTGTATTTAATCCTAAGGTAAATTTACTTAAGGAGTTCCTTGGCTTCCTTGTACTTCGAATTTCAAAGAAAATATATTGATATATCTATACTGTATCAATGTTTTACTCAAAAACCGATATATAAACGTATATCGCAAAATTAATATATCAATTTATGTATTGGATTTTGAGTTTGCTCATCTCAACTTTAATATATCGATTTTTATATCGGATTTTGAGACAAACATCGACATTATATCTACAAATATTTTATTATATATCATAAACCGTCTTTGTGCAAAGATCCTGTCCCCCTTTCTCCACCCCTGTTCCCCCCAAAATCTGAGGTTTCCCTAACTTATAGTATAAGAGGTGAAACTACTTATCGGCTCTCTTTAGTTTGTGGTAATTTATGAAACTCATTATGTCCGCGAGGCGTGCCTTCAACGGCAATTGAGGGATACGGATTTTGGTTTGCCGAGCCTCCGTTTCGACGCCGCCTGGCGATCACTTCAAAAACTTGCCATTTCTGATGGCAGTCCAAAAGTTTTCGCGTAATTTCATTTAAAGTCCTCGAAAGTTGTTAGTGCGCCCGCCAAGTTGCAATTGTTGCTGCTGCCGCGAGGGCATTAAGTTTTGTGGTTCAGCCTGTTACCAGGCAGTTCTCGCTCATTATCCTACTGATTTTTAGCACGAGTTTTCCTCGCTGCCCCCGTGAATTCCACGAATTTGCACCTACACATACATATAAATGTGGCATAAATCCAATTAGGCGGCACCGGCAGCGCTTTAATTGACGGCGGTTGCCGCCTCTACGTGCTGGATGAGCCTCCATTTGGATAGGGTTCCATGGGGTTGAGGGTTTAGGGGTAGAAGGGGTTCAGGGGTAGAGGGATTCCGGAGGTTATGAGAAAATCTCCCGGGCGAAGTAAATGAATTTCCATATGCCGCTTTTGTTTTGCCGCCACCGAGATATGAATGGATAAATGAGTGACTGCGGTTCGCTCCAGTGCGATGTGTTTTTAGATGTGGATGTGATGTGGACTTGGCTGTGGTTCGTTTCCCCTTTTGTGAGTTCCATATATGGGCTCCACATGAGTCGCAGCTGCCACTGCTCCTGTTCCTGTTCCTGTTCTGCGGCCTACATTTTGTCAACACAAAAAAACTGCAACCTAAGTGAACCGTTGAGAAAAAATTTGTCTAAATTCCAAAGCATAAAAGAGGTGACACGGAGGTAGTTTTAAAAACTTTAAACATTGGAAAGATAATTTTTTTTAGAAACCTAAACTAAGAGATATTAATTGAGGCTCCATAAAAGCTTAGTTAATAATATTTTAAATATTGAAAATATGTTTTCTTAATTAATTAATTAATTAATTAATTTGTCCAACAAACTATTCATAAAAATATGGATATATTCTACTTTAGGAATTCAAATATTTTCGGTTTTCTTAAAGGGTTTTTTGATTTTATTCAGCGAAGGAGTCATTTCCTACCCTGTAAACCATATATATTCTTGATCAGCATTAATAGGCGCTTCTTTTTAGACATGCCCGGAAGAAATCTATTTTTTGGCCATTTTCACAAAAATTGATAAGGGGTTACATCATTAAATTTTGCAAAAATGGCCCGACATTTGAATTTTTAAAAACATTAAATTTAGTAAGCAGATTTGTTAACCTAGGAAAAACTAGCATAGAACCGTTTTCCAAATTGAATTTGAGGCTTTTTTGGCTTAGTTACGATAACAAAACTGCTTACTCAGTTTTTCTTAAAAACTTATCTATAATTTAATTTAATTTTACATAGCTTCATTTCTTATATTTACAGCACTCCAATAGTGAAATCGAGAGCGTGCGCAGGGATCTGGGAAGCACAAGTTCATCAAGTTCATTGTAATTGTTGATTGATGATCACCTGATCGGCAGAGGTGAAGCTGGAGGAGCAAGCAGCTGGGATGACAGATCTCAACCCGATGGCAGTGGAGGACGGTGATCGGATCTTGGCTCCGGGCTACTTAAAACCCTGCAGCAGGCGTAAATAATTAAAATATTTATAAAAGCAATTTAAATATGTAAATGTAATTGTGGGAACACACAAAATATGAATCAATAAAAGATGGTGAAATCAATGTGCAACTTTTTTTGTGAAGGCGGCATTTATTTGGGATCGTTTGGGGAAAAATCTAATTATTTTGAAAGCAAAATCTAAATTTTTAAATTTGTTTTCTGAATTTTAAACATTTTTTTCTGATGTTTTACAATTCTTCTAAATTTTTAAAAAATTGTTCTAAACTTTTAAAATTTTTCTGAATTTTAAAATTTTTTTTTTCAGAATTTTTAACATTTTTTAGATTTTTTTTAATTATTTAAGAATTTTTTTAGAATTAAACAAATTTTTTTTAAACTTTTTAACTGCCAAATTTGAATTTGAATTTAACTGCCAAATTTGAATTTGAATTTAACGACGATCAGTTTCAGTGTGCCCAGGTGCAGTTGTAAAATAAATCCTAAATTTGGATTTAAAAGGTTTGAGTCTACGCTAACATGCGCCGGCTCCGAAATGGTTTGAAACTTGGACAAAATTTACAATATGGTCACACTGGCACGTTTTTCGTGGCCCAAAGTTTTTATAACAGTTTATAACAGTTTTCAGTTGCTTGCTGCTGGTTTCTGTTCGCCTGGTACCCCGATTTGGGAAACGGGCAATTTGCATGGAAATGTTCGGAATTTTGGATGGGCTGCTGTAGGGATGTTGTTGTAAAAAGGTTGTTGTTGCCATAAGCTGTTGCTGTCGGCAACAAATAGGCATAAATGCATAAAATGAAATATAACAGTTTTTACCAAATATTATTTTTGCCCAAACGTTTTTATAACAGTTTATACCAGTTTTCAGTTGCTTGCTGCTGGTTTCTGTTCGCCTGTTACCCCAATTTGGAATTTGAATGAAAAGTTTTGCTCACTTCCATCAGTGATGCTCACTTCCATCAGTGATGCTCACTTCCATCAGTGATGCTCACTTCCATCAGTGATGCTCACTTCCATCAGTGATGCTCACTTCCATCAGTGATGCTCACTTCCATCAGTGATGCTCACTTCCATCAGTGATGCTCACTTCCATCAGTGATGCTCACTTCCATCAGTGATGCTCACTTCCATCAGTGATGCTCACTTCCATCAGTGATGCTCACTTCCATCAGTGATGCTCACTTCCATCAGTGATGCTCACTTCCATCAGTGATGCTCATCTGCATCAGTGATGCTCATCTGCATCAGTGATGCTCACTTCCATCAGTGATGCTCATCTGCATCAGTGATGCTCATCTGCATCAGTGATGCTCATCTGCATCAGTGATGCTCATCTGCATCAGTGATGCTCATCTTCATCAGTGATGCTCATCTGCATCAGTGATGCTCACCTGCATCAGTGATGCTCATCTGCAGGGTATTAAAATTTCAGTAAAAAGCTTACAAAACAATGAAGCAGTCATTTCCGACCCTATAAACCATATATATTCTTGATCAGCATTAACAGGCGCTTCTTTCTAGACATGTCCGGAAGAAATCTATTTTTGGGTCATTTTTTCAAAATTTGATAAGGGGTTACATCATTAAATTTTTCAAAAATCACCAAAAATTTTGATTTTTTAAAAAATTAAATTTAGTAAGCAGATTTGTTAATCTAGGAAAAAGTAGCATAGAACCGTTTTCCAAATTGAATTTGAGGCTTCTTTGGCTAAGTTATGATCGATTTTCATAATTTGAAGGCCAGAAATGTCAGTTTTTAAGGATTTTTAAGGAAAAGTAAGGATGAAAAAATTAAAATTTATAGGGTATTTTGCTATGAAATAATTGTAGATTATGTTAGCTAGTTCTTCCATTTTCTATAGATATTTCATATATTTAAATAATGTTTAAACAATAGTAGTATTTTAGAAAAAAAGTCTACAAATCTTAATGCTCATTTTCAAAATATTTCCAAATTTGTATACCCCTACAGTGCATTAAAATTTCAGTAAAAAGCTTACAAAACAATGAAGCAGTCATTTCCGACCCTATAAACCATATATATTCTTGATCAGCATTAACAGGCGCTTCTTTCTAGCCATGTCCGGAAGAAATCTAATTTTGAGCCATTTTTGCAAAAAAATGAAAGGGGTTACATCATGATTTTTTTCAAAATTTGACCAAAAATTTGATTTTTTAAAAAATTAAATTTAGTATGCAGATTTGTTAATCTTAGAAAATATAGCACAGAACTGTTTTCCGAATTGAAATTGATGCATTTTTGGCAAAGTTATGATATTTTTAAGTTTTAGATTTAACAAAAATTACCATGTAAAATTTAATTTTATTTATTTATTATTTATTTTTATTTATTTATTATATATTTTGTATTTGTTAAATTATTATAATAATCAACTTAATAAAACTTGATCGAATAGTTTTCTGAATTGCATTTGGCTAAGTTTTGTGATTTTTAAACTTTAATTTGTTCAAAAAATGATCAAAAAATATGGGAAATATCCATTAAAAAATGTTGATATTTTTTGGGTCTTCTTAAAGGTTATTTTTATTTTATTTAGTGAACCATTCATTTCCGACCCTATAAACCATATATATTCTTGATCAGCATAAGCAGGCGCTTCTTTCTAGCCATGTCTGGAGGAAATCTATTTTTGGGTCATTTTTTCAAAATTTGATAAGAGGTTACATCATTAAATTTTGCAAAAATGGCCCGAAATTTGAATTTAAAAAAAAATTAAATTTAGTAAGCAGATTTGTTAACCTAGGAAAAACTAGCATAGAACCGTTTTCCAAATTGAATTTGAGGCTTTTTTGGCTTAGTTATGATATTTTGATTTTTAGAAAAATTATATTTTTTTCTTTTCAGTTGATCAACATACATAAATCGAAAGGTTATAAGGTAAGCTTCCTTTCTTGTAATAATTATTATTATAAACTATATGTAATTTAGAATCTCCTTTCGGTCAAAATATACCAAAAGAAAAGGTAAATCTCAAATTTTTCACATTAGCAACTGAAAAGTGATTAAACCTTAGACCTTCCTTTGACCCTAATCAGGCATTGATCCATATTTAATATATATAACCTGTTTAAATTTCTTAATTTCAAACTCTTGATCAGTTTTCTTGTCATTCTCCTTGAACATTTCCTGAATTTATACTCACTTGATGTACTTTAATCCACTTATCCACTCATTAATCGTTTCCATTTGATTTCGTAGCAATGACTGGGGTTTTCCGCCCCCCGCCCCCTGCATTTCCTGGGGCTTTCTTTCCTTCCCCTCCCTACCCCACCCCCCTTCAACTGTCAGCAGTAGTCAAAGTGGCTGCCTTTCGTTTCTTACGCAAAACTGCAAAAGTGACACGAACAGGAAGAGAAATTCTCTTCAATGGCGGGTGGGGAGGGGGTCCTGCGCTTGGCACTAAATTAAAATGTCAGTGTCGTGTTACTTCCGGTGCCGGCAGCCAGGGTTGCCAGAGTGCCCGGAGTGCACTGCCACTTAAGTCAAATTGCATGCTATAAATTTGGTGCCAATCAACTTAAACATGGCACATTATGCAATGCCTGCAGCTGGTGTTGCTGTTGCGGATTCTCCTGCTGCTGCTGATGATGCTTCCTTTTTTTTCCCCTCCCAGCCACACCGCAAATCAAAACGCAGACATTTAATTTAAATTCATCGTTTTTTTTCTCTTTATTTGTTTTGTTTTGTTTTGATGTTTCGCTTTATTTTACCTTTCGTTTTAAAACTGAATAAAAAAATATTATATGTTTTGTTTTTATGTAGTGAGTGTTGGTGTGTGTTGTGTGTCTGAAGTGTCTGTGTGTATGCATAAATATTTTAGCTAATGCTTTCTTTTCCGTTGGTGGTGGCAATTTGTTGGATTGAATGGAGAAATCAGAAATGCATACAAAATAGTTAACAAAGTGTTTTATTGTTTGAACAGCCACAGCCCGAGGGCATCGAATTCTGTGTTGTGTTTTGTGTGTCGTTTCTCTCTCTCTTTGCTTTTTTGTTGATTTATTTCTGCTCTAAATTGTATTTTTCTCTCTCTCTCGTGTGCTGTCAGTCAAATCGCAAAATATACACATGTATAAATATTTTTTGCTAAATAAAAAATTTCCTTTGATTTTAGTTTCTTTTTTTTGCATAGTTTTTAATGGGTGGTTGTGTGTGTGTGTTTGTATTTTTTCTTTGAAATGAAAAATGATGCTTTACTTATTTACAAATAATAAGTAGATGTATATGTAAGTGTATATGTATATATATATATATATAATGTATATTCGCTTATCTGGTTTTAGAGTGTATAATTTATATAATAAAGATTCTCATTTCGTATTCTCCTTAATTTATTTTTATTTTGTTTTTTGTTCATTTTAAACGAGACTTTTGCTTAATCGTTTTCCTCGTCGGTTTGCTTTATTTTATTTTTGTTTTGTGGCATTTGCTCTTAAACATTTGCTTACTAGTTAAATTCATTTCGAAATTGTTTAAAATTAACTACAATTTAATTTAAGTTTGCCGCTGCTGCTTATTTACTTTGCAAGTCAAGTAAATATATACAAATTACACATGTATTTACAATTAAATCTTAGCTACAAAAAATGTTCGAGTCTGTTCTGTGTGTGTGTGTGTGTCAAAGAGTTGCAAAAAACACTTGTTTAAACGGACTTAAAAAACACAACGCAAGGCACAAACAAAACATATTTATATATATTATATTTTCAACTCAATATTCGAGGGTTAAAACATAACTTAATTCATCTTAGGGATAATTACAAATTAAACGATTTTATTACCACAATTAAAATTTTGAATTTTTCAACACAAAAAGCTCGAAAACATAAATGGAAAACATTTAAAATATATTACTAAACATTTTGTAAATTAAATTAAAGTTTTCAGATTGTTTCAATTATTTGTAATAATTTTTTTGTTTGCTGTTTGTTTAAAGTTCTCTGTACTTTAGTTTTAACTTACTTAAAGCAACACTTTATCGCTCTTGAATTTATTTAAAAATTTTAAAATTAAGTTATGGTAAGTTTTTTGTTTCTTTTTTATATATTTTTTGTTTTTTTATATATTTTTTGTGGCAGGTCGTACTGTTATTTTTAAATTATTTTCCTTAGCTTTCTGTTGTGGTTCTGTTTTATTATTTTTTTTTTTTTTGTAGAACCGACAAGAATCATCACTTAAGAGTTAGTTTTTGTTTAAGCCTAGGGTCAAGTGTGTGTGAGATTTTGTTTTGATTCCAACATTAGATGCCTTACAGTTTAAAGTTCGTTTCGTTTGTTGCAACTGGGACCTAGATGACCGTATATTTATATATATATATATATTAATATTAACTACTATTTAGCCCTAACTGCTATCTGGTAAATCGTAACATTTAGTGCTTGTCCAGTGATGGTTTCTTGTCTGTGTCCAGTTGGGTTTCTCTCAGTGTATATGTCCGTGTGTGCTGCTGCTGCTGATAGATTGGAAACTCTAATGCCTATCGGTATCGATTTAATATCTATGCATATCGCTTTCGTTGCCAATAAAACTCAACACACGTTCGTTTCATATCCCTCAAACTAAGCCTTACATCGAAGTAATATAATGTTTATATTATTAAAAAAAAGTATTCAAAATGATGGCCACTTTTCAAAAAGTCTGCTAACAGTCGAGCAGGAAAGTCAAGTAAGGGTTAAAAATAATAATAATAAAAAACAAAAAGTAGATGTCGGCGAGAAAGAGTGATAGACGATAGAGTTAATATTTTTTCGAGTGCTGATTTTCTGATTTTCTGATTTTTGTTTTTTTGCAAACTAGAATTTCCTAGACAATAATCTCGCGTATAACGCGACGATTCCTGGCATTCGGCGTTGTCGAATACTCGCCCTCGAAGCTCTCATCGTAGCTAAGGGACAAGTGCTGCTGCGGCGGCAGGACCTCGTCCTGTTCCAGATGCTCCATGTTGTAGGGATTGGGCAGGCCGCTTACGTCGTGATATGGTGAATCTGTTATGGAACAAAAGAGGCAGAAAATTGCTTAAATTAGTTTACCAAAATGGGCGTAAAAGGCCAAAGTCATGCACAAACAATTAAAAACAAAATGCTAATCAAAACAAACACACGGCGAGGGTAGATGGTGAGTGAAGAGTGTCTTCAGTGCTTAGGCAAAAAACTTGCTTAAAAAAAAAAGTGAACTTCAAGCCAACTTAAAAATTCTGCATTATCACAGGGTGTAGATGGGGGTTTAAGGATATTTACTGTCCTTGACTCTGACATTAACTTACTTCAGCCTGCGCGCTCCGTTAGAGCGTAACATCCTGTATAATGTCCGCTATTGATTTGGTTTTTTATATTGCATATTTTTTGATTTGTTTTTGTTTAGGATTAATGAGTAGGCAAGACATGTGTGTTTGAGTGTGAAGAGTAAATATATATAGAGAAGAATAGCCAAGGTTAGGACACTGCTTTGAAGCTTTAATAATACGTTAATGCTTAAGGTCTAGCTTAAAATGAAAACAAACACTCAGGCACACAAGAAATACTCATGTATATAGAAAAGGGATGCCCAGGGACAGGACTTGAGAGACACAGAATGTAAATGGTAATTTTGTGACTAGAATTTTAAAATTTAATGGCTATAATCATCTCGAAAATAACGTAAACTTTGATATATCGAAATTTTAAATATAGAATTTAATTAATTAAATTTATTTTCCCGATTATTTTGATCCGAAATAATAAATATAATATCGATTTATTACTCATAATAATATCGAAACAATTTAAAATTTAACTTTAAAATATCGAAATAATTGTTAAAATATTCCTTATATTTTATTTAATAAATTTATATCATTTTGCCAATTATTTTGATCCAAAATATTGAGCAGAATATTAATTTATTACACATATCGATTTTTTTTCGATATATTAATATGTTTTACCATCCCTAATTCTATTATCTCACTGATATCAACAAATTTTATAAAACTTTTTGCCAGTTAACCAATTTAATTACCACTCCTTTGATTGACATAACATGTCATTGTAGTTTATCGAAGCTTTAAATTGTCAGCACTCAGCTCTACACACTCAGCCAGTCGGGCGGATGACGGTGATTTTTTTCTGGCCCCCAAAGCAATTGTTTTAATTTACCAGTTGATTGCTCTCACTAACGAGATCCAATTGCAATGTCCCCCGGAATTGGGAATGCGGATTGGGATTGCATTGCTGCATTGCTGCATTGCAACCGAAAATTGCAAACGAATTAGAGAGGCATTTTCTGGCATTTGGTTTGGGCAACGCCCCGAGTCTGCCCGCTGGTAAACAGGACATTAATTTATAATCAAAGGACTCTCCTCTGGCCACCCCCACTGCCTTTTGGCAAGCAAACATCTTTGTCTGCTACAAATTGTTGCATATTTAAGCGCATCGCCCATCGCCATCGCCACTTGGAGCCTTGTCCGCAGCTCTCCTTCTCTCTGTCTTGTTTGGCCATGCAAATCCGGCAAAGGATTTCAGTCACTAACAACCTTCGCCTTTTTTTTTTTGTGCTCGGTCTGCTCTGCTTTTGGATTGCTTTGTGTGCCAAATCGTTGGAAAATTTATTGGAATTTGAATTTCAAAATAAAGAAGGATGAAAAGTAAAAAAACGAAGAAGGGTAGCGGGTGGGGAAAATCGCCGCATCGAAATGCTTTTTTGGCCAAATACCAAATGTGTGAATGTCTCACTTGAAAGGGCTCTTTTTAACCTGTTTTTTGCACAGGGAGAAATATATAAGGAGACATTTTTAAAGCAAATATATACCAGGAAATAATTAAGGATACTAAGGATAATTTTTAGATAAACATTTCAAACTTTTAGGTATTTATATAGGATTTAAAATAACCATTAAGACTTTCACTAAACAAATAATGCTTACAAACACTCCATTCTTATTTCTTTTTATTTTTTAATCCTTTTAATATTATTTATCTACAAATATTAACCTCTGTAAACCATAACACACCTTTTTACATTTTTTAAATATTTTTAAATAACCCCAATCTTCTCTTAAAGCAGTTTTCCCCCATTTTCTTGACGTGTTCCCTAAATGTAAAACGTAAATCCTTTTTAACAACTGCTCTTTAACATATTCCGTCTCGTTCGACTGGCTTTTCTCCCGCCCCTCTACATTATACTAAAGCATTTTCCCCCGCTTTATCCTGCCTTTTCTTGGTCGTGTGAAAATTCCTAAGCGCGTTTGTCGCCATCGCCCCATCGCCTCGGATTTTTTCCCTGCCTTCCAGTTGCGCCACACCTCTCTTCCCTGGCATCAGCCGGGCTCCACTCCACTTTGGCATCTGCATAAACTTGACCCAAAAAAAAGGAGAGTGAGAGGGAAGGTAGAGAGGGTAGAGAGAAAGGGAAAGCCAGCAAGTTGGAAAAGCGAATCCTTTTTTCGTCCAACTATTTCCTTTCCCTAGATTTTCAAATGTTCAAAGATTTGGTCCTCTGTTTTGGGTTCCTGCTAGCATTTTATGGCCAATACGTGAGCTGTGGATATTATGCGCATAACTTTATTGTATGCCAAGCCCACCTACTCCCACCTCCCACTAGTAAGGGGTTTTTCCCTGCTGTTTTTTCAATTTCCATTCAACCCGAGCCAGTGGACTCTCAACAACTCTTCGTCTGTCTCTCTCAACAACTTAATCGTTTTTGCGTTAAGCATACGCACTGTTGGTCGCCACTTTCCACTTGGCCTTTTTTGTTGCTTGCCTGAGCTGTCTTTGCATGCAAATTTTCCACACGTGGTGGGTTTTTTCTCTCCTCCATTTTTGTTATGCTAAGCTCGTAATAACCCATTCTTTTTTTAGTAAATTTTCGGAAACGTCGAAAGTAAACAAATTGCAGATGAGTTTATCCCACCAACACAAACACAACTCTCTCTGGTAGAAACAAGGGGTTAAAACGGTGTAGAAGCCAAAGCGCTTATCATTTGTTGCCTTTTTGCCTGCTGGCTTTCTCCAGTCTCCGTCTCCTAACTGCTCCTCCTCTGGCAAATCCACTTAGTGTGTGTTTAGTGCTGTGGACTGTGTGTTACTTCCTAGCCAAGTCCATGTTGTTCTCCCTTTTCTTGGTTTCTTTTTTTTTTTGCTGTTGCAAAAATCCTGACTCATGTGATTTATGTGATTCCCTCTATTCCACATCCTTGCAACTATTTGGAAGCTATCCAGCCAGGAAGAACAAGATTCTTATGGCACTTTGAATAAGTTTTTCTGGCATTTATTGCTTAGCCTAAAAGCAAACTGCATTATGGGCTTTTCAGCGAAAGAAAAGAGAAGAGAAAAGAGGGCTAGAAAACAGATTTGTTGGGGGGCTTAAATCATCAGATAAGTGACAAAGGAAAACGTCAAGTTTCTAGTTGTAATATTCTTTTAATAATATTAATAGTTTCAATCAGAAATCTTGATTTATTAAAGGTTTTAAAGCATACAGCTATTTCCTATAGAAACCCTTTCCCTTTCATAAATTCCTGTGACCCATTTCCCTCAAGTAATTACATTTGTAGCTGAAATATATATATACAGACATGTGTGTAAATGGTCCCATATTAATCAAAATCGTTTATGTATATTCATGAAGTAGCAATTTGAATAATCTGCTAAAAGCTAGGGATAATCTTCACTCTCGTCTTGTGGTTGACTTTCTCTCTCTCTCTGTCTCACTTTCTCTCTGTCTCTGTTTCACTTTTGCCTTAATGATGAACTAAAGCCATTTTCCAAGCACAGCTCCGAGCGTCTCTCTCTCTCTCTCTGTTTGACAAAAGACCAAACAAAGGCGCTCAACCAACTGACACAAAAGTCTGCATAATCAATCAGTCAGCAGTGTGTGTGTGTGTGTGTTTCCCCCCCCTTTGAAATCCACCCCGGAAATCCACCCATCTTTATTCTGTGTGTAACCTTCTTTGCATGTTAACAGATGAGCAAAAAATTTGCTTACGCAGCTTTTTGGCGCCTGCCGCAGACTTCCTTCCTTCCGGCCATGGCCAAGAGAGCCCCCCCTTTTCCTCCCTCCCCCTTGCCATCCCCCCCTCGGGCTGGCTCATTCATAGCCTCGATATGCATGCATCCACTGACTCTGACTCTTTGGCTGCTGTTGTACGCCGAAAAACCCCTTGATCACTAAATTACACGGTGAGAAAAAATTATGTTTCATATGCAAAATATTTTTAAGATAGTAAAAATTTATAAATAATTTCAAAAAAGGATTAAATTTCAGTTTTTGTCAACTATTTGCTTAGAAAGTTAAAAAAAAGGGTTTTTTTTTTTTTTGTATATTTTCCTATTTATCACTTTTTATATTAATATTTATACATTTTATATTTTTATCTAATTTTCAATGAATTTAGTAACCCCTCTACATTTTTTCCAGTGCCTTTAGCTGCATTTTGCATGGCACAAAAGTCAGCCCCATCTCCCTCTGGCTGCCAGACAGAGACAGAGAAGGCCACCGAAAAGCCATAGAATGAGCGATGAGGGGTCTCAAATGTGAGTTTGGCAAGTGTAAAAGCTTTTAAACATACACACACGCACACATACGCTTGCATACTCTCACACACACACACACACATCAGCACACACGCATTCAGTTGCATTTGCAAGCTGTGCATAAGCTGACATCAATGTAATGAAGATGTATTTGCATATTGTAGCACTGTCAATCTGCTGCCTCAGTCTGTGCACCCCTCTTAACCCTCCGCTAGATTAACCCTCTTCAGAGGCTCTCCTTCTGCTGCTGCTTTTGATGGCTCTCAAGGGTAGAGGGGGATGAGGATGCATCCTCCATCTTGTATCTGCATCTTGTATCTCGCTTTCGTGCATTTTATTGACATGCACGAACAGGCAGCACCAAGCTCTGGCCTGGACAGCTGTTGTTATGCCCATTTCCTTTCCATTTCTATATTTATTTTTACATTTTTATTTTTGTTGCTCTAAAACTTTTGTAAATATTTTTTATTGTTTGCCTGTGCGTTGTGCATTTTTCGTTTGCCTATATTTTGCTTTACTTTTTTTGCTGATGTTTATTGTTGCCTTGCGTTTAACCTCAGTAAACAAAAGGGAGGAGGAGGAAAAAACCCGAAAGAGTCATAGAGGGAAGACTTGCCTCCAGTGCCCTATTTTTTTTTTTTTTGCTTCTCTTTTTTCCTACTTTTTTTATTGCATTTTATATGCACGCACCAAAGAAGAAAAGACGAAACACACCGAGAAAAAATATTCAGCAGCAGCAGCAACAATAATAACATCCTGCGAGTCCTGGGCCATAAAAAAAAGAGAAATACAGAAACAACAACAAGAGTGGCAGCTACCAAAAATGTATTTTTTGTGGGGTTTTTGGTGCTCATAAAGCGTAAAGATAACACACACACACACACAACGCTCATAGTTGTGGCCAAAACATACACACACACATACACACAGTCACAAAGGGAGGGAAGAATATTACGCATACGACCCGCTGGCGCTTTACAGTCGCCAGTTCCAACGAAAACTCTCACTGCGGCTGTTCATCTTGGGTCCAGGTTCCGTTACGTTTCGTTTCGTTTGGGTCCCTCTCATTCGGTTCGGTTCAGTTCGGTTCGCTTTTTATTATTTAATATTTTAAAACACTTGCGGTGTTATTGGCATCACAATAACAAAAACAAACAGTTGCGTAGCTCGAAACAAAAACAATATGAAATGTAAAGGGAGTTTTACTGTTGAAAAAACGCGAATATTTGCTTACTCTTTTTGAATTGAATTACTTTGAGTAATAATAAATGAATGGATAATAATAGTAAAATTAATAAATAATTAATGGGTAGGTTTTAGAAATGCCTTTACACAAATTTTTTAATTGAAATTAATTTTTAACAATATTTCTTTTATGAAAAATTAGGAATAAAGAAAGCTAGCAAATTAATTATTAATATATAAATAAAAATTAAACATTTCAAACTAAAATCCAAAAAATTTATTATATTTTAAATACATTTTCTATAGTTTACTTTTCGTTTTAGAAAACTGAAACCAACCTTATGTCAAGAGTATACAATATAATAAAACACGCATAACAACATGGGCCATGCGGCAAAAATGGATTCCGCAAAAATTCGAACACAACCGACAGACACACTTGCACAAACACACACACAAACAACAAACTCACACACACACACACACACCCATAGAGACAGTACCAGAAAACAAGCTGTGGACGCCAAAGGGCACAAGCTGCCTTCTCCTTGCATGCTCATCCTTCCCCTTTGCCTCTTCCTGATCCTGCCCAACTTTCGTCCTTGTTGATTTTGCTTCTGCGGTCGGTGTTTTGTGCTCGAGTGAACTTAAAGCAAAGACTTTAAGCCAGAGAGCCAGAGAAATGTGGTTGTTGTTCGAACAGCAAGCATACATATTGCCAATGTGTATATGGAATATTATTATTTATTTGCGATAGGCCAGGCATCTACCGCGACCTCTGACCCCCTTATAATTAGCATGGAAAAAGGGCGCAAAACATTTTAGATTTCAGTGCCTTAACTTGTCATAACTGAGAAGGCTAGCCAAAGCCCAAAATGCCAACAGAAATGTTGTCCATCCCAAGTTGTTCTATATATTTTTTTTCTTTTTGCCCATTTTCTTTGGCCCAAGTTGCCAGTTTTTGACATAGGCCAAAACTCTGAGTAAAGCTGGAAGCCAAGCGCCAGGACGTTACTCTTTTTCTCAACCTCTCCCTTCCCTGACTCTCCTTTCTCCTCCATGATAGCAGCTTAATGTGTCAGAAAATAGAAACTTTGGGTCGGCTGGCTATATGCTAGGCGCGCCCCTACAAAGTTTATCAATCAAAATGAGGCAAAAGTTGCTCTAACAAATCTCTTCGCAATCTATGCGTAATTTTCTGGAGTTTTGCCTTTTGTACGTTACACGCGGCGGGAACATCACATCTTGGCGTAGAATTTATTTTCTAGCATTATTCCATTGGAATTTATTCACTTTTAGCTGCTTGTTTCACTTAGGGGCCAACTGATGAATGAGCCAAGATTTTCCGCTAATAAGTTTTCTTATAATTCTAGGGGAGAGTTTATTGCAGGAAGTTTATACAAGTTTTATACTTGTTTTCAGGGGGATTTAAGGATGATTTGAGAGAGATATATTGAGTATATATTTGAAAGTGATCTTAAAGAGATAAGTAGTAGAGATAAGTAAGTGGGAGAGTTAATATATAATTTCTTCAGGATTGCAGGAAGTTTAGACAAGTTTTATACATGTTTTCTGGGGGATTTAAGAATGATTTGAGAGAGATATATTGAATGTATTTTTTGAAAGTGATCTTAAATAGATAAGTAAGAAGAGAGATAATTCCTGGGAGAGTTTATATACATTTCCTTAAGGATATTCATTTGCTAAATGCAAGAAGAGGCTTTTTTTTCACCTTAAAAACTAAAAACTGTAATTACATTAATAATTTCAGCTTCAAAAATAGTTTCCTAACAAATAAAGTAACTTTTTCTTTTCCATAAACTCAATTTCAACTTCATAGATTTTGCCTCTTTCCCTTATAAACTATTATCAACAATTATAATATATATTTTACTCCACATTCACACTCTCCCTAATAAACATATATCCTATAGCTATAACTAATTCTCTGTTTAGTTTGCTCACCTAAATGCTGGTCGACTCGCTTCTTGGGCTTCTGCACGGAGGCATAGGGATCACTGCAGTAGTCCTGCCGGGACGGATTTTGACTGTTCCTCAAATTGTGATACTCATCGCCCACCTGGCTGGGTGTGGCCGTCAGATGCGGATAGGGGGCATAGTCATCCACAGCCCCGTAACCGCCATGGGTCAACGGATCGTAACCATAGTTGGGCTGCTGCTCCACATACTGGTTGAGGGGGGCCTGGACCATTCCCTGCTGATTGCCCACCGCTGCTGCGGACATCTTCACCTGCCACAGCGAGTCCTGTGAGTTGACACTGCCGCCGTTGTTCGAGTTGGAATAGTTGTTCTCCATGTAGCCCATGTTGACCCCTGGAAAAATGGAGAGAAAAGCGGAAAAAACAGAAATGATGAATGAGTATTTTTTTGGCAAAATAAATAAAAAGGAAGTCCAAGGTTTTGCATACCATTTCCAATGGATGGGTAATGGCTATATGAAAAACTATAGAGAATCCTTTAAAAAGGCTCTCGTTTTTAAATAGAATTCTTGTTTAATTAAAGAATAAATTCAAATTTAATTTCAAGAGTTAAACCTGAAGAAAAATCAAATTTTCGTGTGGCAAAATGTATAATTAGTGTCCTTTTTCTATAACAAAATTACTAAAATAATTGTATAACTTTCTCTCTCTTTTATTTTTCTAGTTTTTTTCTCTGCCTTATTTAATTAAATTATATTATTATTATTATTATACTTGGCAACCCTGATATCTGAGCCTCCTTTGTATGCATACAAGTTAAACATTGACTATTTGGCTTTTGGCCAAGTCAAAACTTTCGCTCGTTTGGCAGTAAAATAAAATTTAATTAAAATTAAGCCAAAGTTTCTCTGGCTCGAAAAATACGTTGAAGTTCTCTCGTTTTGAGCCTAGGATTTTTATTGATTAACACATAAAAATGACAAAGGCATAAAATGAATTTATTAACTGCAAAAAGGAGGCTTCGCTTTGACTCGCGACTCGCAGACAAGGCGTAATTAATAGTTCATAACATTGCGCATACGCCGCGTGCGCCACTTAAAATCTATCCGAGCGTCATAAACCCTTGAAGCACCCAAGCAACCTGCCTTCTCTCGCTCTCTCCAGCTCTTTCTTCGATTTGACAAATTTTTATGAGGGAGCAGGAGGAGTGGATTGTGTCCTTCGGCCCGCATTTGATGAGGAGCAGCTGGTGCTTCTATTTTTCCCACTCGAGGTCCTTCTCCTGCTCCTCCTTTTATTCATTGTTCCCTTTGCCTGGCCTGCCTGGCCTGACGGTGCGTGCCTGCTGCCTGAACGCATTTATTATTATTTTTATATCGTGATAAATCACTCATAAATATTAAAAGCACGCTTGCCGGCAAACACAAACTTTTTGAATTTTGAGTTGTGCCCAAAAAACAAAAGGAAAAAAATAAAACAAAAATAAAAGGGGGCTGGCAAAAAAAAAAGAAGTGTTCTTAAAAACATAAACATTTGCATTTTAGGGGATTTGTCACCGCGGAAGGGATTCTTTTTGCTTTTGTAATTATATTTTTAATTAAATGCACATACATATATTATAATTTCTATATTAATTTTATGAATTACAAACACTAAACTTTTAAAATAAAATATTTAATAGGTAAAGAATGTATTTTACAAGAGTTTTCTGTCACTTTTGCAACTTTTATTTTAAATCTACATTATTTTAATGCTGTTTTATTTAAGAAAATTGTATTTTATTTAAGAAAATCTTAAATTTCAAGCTCTATTTTTCTTTGTATTATTTTTGTTAAAACCCTCCCAATTATTTTTCCCTGTTCACTATCTTTTTATGGCAACATTTTGTGTCACGCATCCCAAAAGTATGCAATAAAATTGTTCGATTTTAGTGAATTTCCACAGATTGAGTTGCCTCTTCTCTTGGGTCTAAAATAAAGAGTGGTTCGGGAAATATGCCTATATATGCCATATATTATATCACATATCCTATATATCATATATACCATATATAGCCCACATTCGTCGGGTTTTATGACCAGTTTTTGCTACTATTCGCGTGCCAAGGCTCTCGCTTCGGTCGCTTTTATGCCTCGTTTTGGTGGGCGTGATAATTTTTATGATTAGCCATAAAACTAAAACAGTAATAATATTAACTTCATTTACATTTCATGCGAACAGGCCAAGTTTTTCTCTGCTCTTTTTCCCCTGTATTTTTTTTTATTTGCTCAATGGCAATTTGCATATTTGCTTGAGTAATTTTATGCCTTAACGTAGGGCAACTCCTCGCTCCTCTTCATTTTTGTTATTATAAAACATTTGGCAATTGCAACAAAATATTACCAACCCCCCCGCCTCCTTGGTGGGTAAAACTTTTCAATTTGATAAGCATCAAATCTTTTGTCGGCAGCAACTTTTGATTGCTCAAGTTTGCCAAAAATATTTGACCGAAATAACAAAAATTCTCTACCACCACCCCCCGCGCGTTGTTGATGAAAATTTTAATGCATTTCCATTGTCTGGGAAGCAATTTTGCCTACAGTTTATTTTTATTTTTACTTCCTATTTTCCTTTATTTTCCTTTTATTCTCTTCCTTCTTTTTCATTTTCATTTTTAGCAATTAAAGTTTGTCAAAGTTTTGTGCATTGATTTGAGCAAATAATAATAATAATAACAACCGTTTGCGGCATAGTTCTGGGACGCCCAGTCACGCCTCTCAGTCCGCGGTGCTCCTCGCTTTTCCCTCCCCCTAAAAACAGCTTATTAAACCCGCTCCGCTCTGCTCCTGGTTCTTTTCTCTTCTCTTCGCCCCCTCCCCTTGCCACTTCAGAGAGCCCGAGCCCGAGCCCGAGCTGTTTGCGCTGGGAAAATCTTTTCATGTAAAAGTGCTTGGCTGGTGGAAAGTTTTCCCTCTAATTCACTCGACAAACTTTTCAACCGGAAGCGCTTACAATTATGCAACATTTTTGTGCAGCAACTACAACGGCTGCAGCAGCAGCAGCAGCGGCAGAAGCAGCAGCAGACGCACAATAAAAACAGTTTCAAATGCCATTAACGGTTAACTAAATAGCAGGCAGCCTGCCCCGGCACCAGAGGGTTAAAGAAGTGCAAATGGGGAGCACAACTTGTGCTGGCAACAGCCTCTGCCAGGAGGTTGCTCGCTCTTTCTACTTGGCTTGGCTGGGCTTCCTCCTCAGCTTCCTGCTCCTGTGAGCTCCTGCTTCTACTCGGATTTCTCTTCCTGCTCCTTCCCAAAACTAAACTCGGCTGAACTGAATGGAACGTAACGGAAGGGCACTCATCTCAGCTGAACTCTCGAGCCCAGTTTGGTGTTCAGGGGGCTTTTTAGGGTGTTAATGGCACCAGTTCGCTCCTTATCTAGGTTACTCATTCTACAGAGAGGGAAATTTTAGGGGATATTGGGGATTTAAACAGTTCAATAATTGATTTATATAAATGTATATATTTTTAGATCATAAAATATTCTATTATCTTATATATAAACCTATATTATATCATTAAAATTGTATGAAATAAACTTAGACCAAAAACTTAACTTCAAAAAAACCGAAATTTCTGGCCTTTAGATCCTGAAAATCGATCATAACTTGGCCAAAAAAGCCTCAAATTCAATTTGGAAAACGGTTTTATGCTACTTTTTTCTAGGTTAACAAATCTGCTTACTAGATTTAATGTTTTAAAAAATCAAAATTTTTGGCCATTTTTAAGAATTTTAATGATGTAACCTCTTATCAAATTTTGAAAAAATGACCCAAAAATAGATTTCTTTCGGACATGTCTAGAAAGAAGCGCCTGTTAATGCTGATCAAGAATATATATGGTTTATAGGGTCGGAAATGACTGCTTCATTGTTTTGTAAGATTTTGACTGAAATTTTAATACCCTGTAGGGGTATAAAAATGTGGAAATACTTTGAAAATGAGGAACAAGATTTGTGGTGTTTTTTTCTAAAATGCTACTATTGTTTAAACATTATTTAAATATATGAAATATCTATAAAAATTGAAAGAACTGGCAAACATAATCTACAATTATTTCAAAATAAAATACCCTATAAATTTTAATTTCTTCATTCTTACTTTTCTTGAAAAATCTCCAAGTTCTTCTCTTTAACTACCAATATTTTCAGTGCTTATAAAATCTAGCCTTCTTCCTCCCCCTGACCTTTTTTTGGTGGCTCGCCCTGATCCTTGCCTTGTTGCACTTTTAATTAGCGACGCGACTCGGGGACTTTGCAGAGTTGCAGAGTCGGAAGTCGGAGGCTGCTGGTGCCGCTGCTCCTGCTCCTTGGCATTTGCCCTAAATGCGCTTAAATGTAGCTGGCACACAACAAGGACCATGGTAGTACTATTTCGGGGAAAAGTTCCTGCACTTGCCGTGTTGCAATTTTCCAAACCCTCTTTCCCTCCCTTTCCCTTTCGAACCAAAAAGTTGTTAAAGCAGCTTCAGTTTTCTCCGATTTTTTGTTCGGGTTAATGAATGAAAAGCCTGCGAGGGCGGCAAACTCGAGACCGAAAGAAAGTAAAATAACTGTGTTTTGTTTTTTGGGAGCCAAATCTCCTCGGGAATTCAACGTGTTGTTCCTGATCAGCTGAGCATGACAGAATTTCCTCTTTTCTTGGCTTAAAAGAAACAGCTAGTCGAGAGCAGGTCAAGGGTATTTTCTTGACGCTTTTCATAATCATTTAAGGGCTGCTTGCCTGACTTTTCCTTCAATTTCCTCTTGAATTTCCACCTGCTGTTTTTTTTTCTCTCTACCAACTGTGTTTAGATTTAAGCCAATTAGTTTGGCCAGCTGCAAAAAAAACAAAAGCCAGCAGCAGCAGCAGCGGCAGCAAATTGGAACTCATAGATTGTGTCTTCGGTATGTTGGTTGTGTGCGGTCGGGGTCGGGTTTTTGGTTCAGATTGGTTTGGCTGGGTTTTGCATGGTTTGGGTTAGGTCAGTTGACCGGTTGGCTGGTCGGGTCAGTCACTCGGTCGCCCGTTCAGTCAGCTGTGCCAAGGCTGCTGGCGATGATAGCAGCCAGAGCACCAGCTGCTGCTGCTGCTGTCCCCTTTAACCCCTTGACAGTCCCTTTCGCTTTTCCCTTTCGCTCACAACTGTGAATACAAGACAAACATGTTCGAGAGGGCAATCACTGGCAAAAAACGAGCAGATTGAGTGGAACAAAGAGCTGCAAAAGCTGGCCTAAAACTAGGCAGGGGAGTTATGCACTGGGAGAATTTTATAGTTTATGATTTGGTGAAATATTTGTTTTAATTTGATGTTCAAAAATGTTTTTTAAAGATTTTAGAATTTTTATAAACCAAAATTTCATTTTATTAAATATTTGTAAACTGAGAAAATATTTAAAAATATTAAAAAAGTGTATACAATGCTTGTAAAATGTTTAAATTCATTACAAATATTTCAAGAATTCCAAAAAATAGTTTACAAGTTTCTTTTAAATGACACAAATATTTTCAAGTGTCAAAGCCATCACCCCTTAAACATATATCCCTCCCCCTAGTACCCTTTTTTGGTTGCGTTTTTGGGGCGTGAAAAACTATTTTGCGGCTATTTGCTTTGCGGGGGCCAGCAGGGCGCCGGTTGCATTTTAAGCCCAGAACTAAACAGAGAGAAGGAGGCAGTAGAAGAGCACCCAGAATCCCATAGAAAACACACACCCCCAAAACCCAAACCCAAACCTAAAAACCAAACTAAACCTAGAAACATGGCAGACATTTGTTGGCCCGACGCGCGCTCCCGGGTTCATGGCTTTATTTATTTAGCGCATAAATTTGCCAAGCGCGAGATTCCTTCTGTTTTGCTTCTATTTTTATTTTTTTCGCTTAGTTATTTTTGTGTTTTGTGTATGCTTTTTTTTTGTAGTTTTCCTCCTCTCTATTTTCGATGGTTGGTTGGCTCTTCTGTGTATGCGACGACGACGACATTTGTTTGCATTTATTTGGTTTTCTAAATGCCAGCAGCTGCTTTTGTTCTTCGCCGCCGTGCATTTATTCGCAGGGACATGACCTCGCCGTCGTCGTTGTAGTCGTCGTCTAGCCGTGGGCGTTTCCCATATCCCCCAGACTCTGATTCGGAGACCCTGACTCCTGATTCTTTATTTAAGAGAGTGCAAAAAACTTGCCAGCTTGTCCTTAGATTTAAAGTGTATAAATTGGGGAATTGTATTTGGTTTTGGCTATTTTATTAGCTGTAGAAATATTATTTTAGGTAATTTATTGACTTCACTTTTTATTTAATTTCTATTTCTAAATGTGTTAAGTTTTTATTGGATTTCTTTTTAACTAAAGTAGTTTCTAATTTCATTCTAGAAAAAAACATTTTTAATTAAATTTTCCAAAAAGGTTTTCCCTGGCAAGTGTAATTTTCCCTAAACTCCTTTCCCTTTTTCCTGTCTCTCCTTTCCCTTGGGCTGCTGCTGCACTTTCGCTCTTCGCTTGATTGTTTTTATTGTCGTCGCCGGTTTACATGCAAAGTTCATTAGGTTTTTGGCCTAGGTCGAAAGCAATCGTGGCTATAAGAGGAGAGCTAAAGGGGAAATAGGAAGGGGTATGGCTGGGAGGCAGGGCAAAGGACCGATAACGAGCCCGAAAAGTGCAGGCAACTACAACAATGAAGCGAGAGAACTCTCAGTAGCACACAAAGTGTAAAATGAGGGAAGGCTTTGCACAGAAAAAAATCTTATGAGAGCAAATTAACATAAATAATAGAAACTATGCTTATATAATTTTTAAAATATTTATCTGGCTATAAAAAATTGTTTTTAATAATTATAATTTTAGTTTAAATATTTATTAGCTTTTTAAAATAATTAAAAACAATTTCTGTAGTCAAAAAATATATTTTTAAAATTATAAAACCTTTTTTTCTATTATTAATTGAATTAATTTAATCTCATTTTAATTATTTTTTGTTTATTCAATTTTTAAAATATTTTCATTGGCTAAGAAAAAATTGTTTTAAATTATCTAAGATTTAATTTAAAGTTTTATCAGCTTTTTAGGTAATTTAAATAATTATAAAACAATGTTTGACAGCCTAAGAATATATTCAAACAATTATTTAACCATTATTTCATATTTTTATTTTTTTTATAAATTAAAATCAAGTCTCTACAATTTTTTCTTCAGTGCCGAACGAACTTAGAGGCCCTGGGGTTTGGTTAGCATCTGCCAAAGGACATTTTCGAATGGCATAGAGCCTCCCGTGTGCTCTCCGGCCCTGCTCCTTAAGCGGCAATTAGCGTTCACAATAAAATGGAGCAGCAGGAGGAGGAGCAGGAGCAGAAGCAGGATGGAGGGAAAGAGTCTCCTTTTTACTTCCTTTTCCCCACTGCGATGCGATTTACTCTTCCTCCTCCTCCGCTAGACTTTGTGCGGACTGCAACCCTTTATTATTCATGCCACTTTCACTTGGCAAATTAGCTCTGTAAATGCAACTCCCACTGCTTCTGCTTGGGCGCCTTCCTTACAATCGCTTTTAAATGCAATTAAGTGGCAATGTTTGCCCCCATCTGCAGCACACCTCACCCACACTCATTGGTTTTAACCCCCTAATGCCCCCCAGACGACGACGACTAAGCGCCTTAAAATTTTAATTGGCCTTCTCGGGCACACAAAAAACAATTGAAACTTGAAATTGGCAAGGGGGTGGTGGGTGGTTGCAGGAAAATCCAAATTGCTGCCATTTCGAGGCTTAACTAATTTAAAACAAAATTAAATTTTACAATGTCCAATATCTAGAATGGGTTTGTGTTTTGGTTTTTTTTTATCCTTGTGGTTAAAAAAGGAATTTTTAATTTGCACATCATTACTTTTCCCCATTGGTTTTCCACCCTTCAGTATGTGGAAAGGTTAAGCTTCAAGCTTTTTTTTCTCCATAAAGAAAAGTGTGTGTGTGTGTGAAAAACCAGAACAATTAATAATGAATTGTATGGCGAATTGTGTGAAACCGCCAGAAGGGAGTGGCGAATGGCAGGGAAGCTGGCCCCGAGTCCAGGAGAACTCGGAAAACTCAGGAAGGGTCCAGGATGAATGGACGTGCGCGACAGCAACAAACAATTGAAAATGGAAAGTATATTACAAAATGCTACACAACAGCAACAACAAAACAGGAAAAGGAGGAGAAAAAAAAACTGGTTGAACACCGTTTAGAAAAAAATTGCTGTTTCAACAAATTTACAACGGAAGTGGAAAGTGCTTTTCCCCTACCCGTTTTCCCGCAGGTGCGTAGCCGCGTTTGATGAATGCCCGCCCGCCGCCACCATCATCGATTTGCACTCAACTCCATTTTGCACTTTTCCCCCAACCAAGACACACTCACATAATTTTCAGAAAACCTTCCTCTGCTCCTTCCTTCCTTTTTCCACTGAACTTTCCCTTAAACGTCAGCACGGATTTTCATTTTGTGTACGGAAGTGTACGTATTTTTGTGGCTGTGAATGTGTTCTTGGTGGACAATGAAAAATCACCGCAAGTGATTCAGCGAGGAGGTGTTATGCTTTCCTTTGGAAAATGGTTAAAAAAAAAGGGGGACAACAGCGAGGACTTGTCCCAGCCGGAAGAATGTCTCACTTGGGTTTTTTGGGGTCTCAGTTTAGTTTTTTTTGATTTTTAAAACCATTTTTGGATACCTTTTCAAGGAAAGAACGCTTGAAGAAGGTTTATAAATAAAGGTTTGAAAGGTTAAAATATAAAATTTGACCTTTAAATTAATATATAATATTTTTATACCCTTGCAGGGTATTATAATTTCAGTCAGAAGTTTGCAACGCAGTGAAGGAGACGTTTCCGACCCTATAAAGTATATATATTCTTGATCAGCATCAACAGCCGAGTCGATCTAGCCATGTCCGTCTGTCCGTCTGTCCGTCTGTCCGTCTGTCTGTCTGTCTGTCTGTCCGTCTGTCTGTTTCTACGCAAACTAGTCCCTCAGTTTTAAAGCTATCTGAATGAAACTTTGCATATAGTCTTCTATATGCTCTCACTGCTATATATGTCGGAACGAGCCGGATCGGACGACTATATCATATAGCTGCCATACAAATGTTCAATAAATTTTTAGAAAAAAATTATAACTTAGCTGTTTTTCAACATATGTGCACTATTTTTTACATATGACCATTTTATATTATTTCTGAATTTTGGTAAAAATTTTATGAAAATCAGACGACTATATCATATAGCTGCCATAGGAACGATCAGGAAATTAATAGAAAAAAATTATAACTTCGTTGTTTTTCAACGTATTTTCATCTACTCTGAGATATAGTCTTATTTTATTATTTCAGAATTTTGGTACGAATTTCATAAAAATCGGACAACTATATCATATAGCTGCCATATAAACGATCGGTAGATGTAGATAAAATATAAAGCTGGGAATGCAAAACTGTAACTGTCAAACTGTAAACATAATACGTATACGTATACGTAGGTAAAATGTAATGAAATAATATCTGCAAGGGTATAGAAACTTCGGCGTGCCGAAGTTAGCTTCCTTTCTTGTTTAAATTTAAAAAGCCATGCTCTAAGGCTTAAAAGTGCTAAAAATATTATTTCCTTAAAGGTTTTTCTCCCTACTTCTAAACGTTATTATTTTAAATATAAATTTTTTAATATTTTTAAAATTTTTTCACATTTTCCTGCCAAAAATCCTATATTCTTTGCACTCCTAAACCATACAAGCAATATTTAAATTTTTTAACATTTACCCGTTCCCTTTTCTCCCTTAAAATTTATATAAATAAATAAAATAACATTTCTCTTTTCCACTTACATTCATTTCCAGGAATCGTGTGCGCCGTGAGTCCCGGTATTCCATTCACTCCCATGCAGCTGCTACCAATGCCGCCCACACCAACAACGCTGCCAACGCCCATGCCGCTGACCACACTTCCGCCGACTCCGACGCCCACACCGCCAGGTCCCACGCCGCCACCACCTACCACACCGCTGCCGGGATGATAGCTGTACCCATTCTGAGTGGCATACAGCGCCGTCTTCTGCTCCTCCATGCTCAAAGCAAGATCCATCGAGTGCTCCAGGGCCTTGTTGTCCAGTCCCGAGGCGGGGTAGTAGGGTGGCGGTGCCTGATTCTGCTGGGCAGCCACTATCGAGGGCCGGACAGAGTCCATCTCGTAATCCTTGGCGGCGGCGCTCTTTTTGGACTGATTGCGCTTGCAGCGACAGAACATCAGGATCAGGCCGGCGAAGAGGGCGAACACGATGCAGGACACGATTATCGCAATCAGTGTGGGCGTGGCCAGGGCACTAGCCTCCGCTATATAAGGGCGACCAACTGTGTGGGAGAGAAGAAATGGGAAAGAATGAGAAAATGTAGCAGAATGAGTTCACTGGAGGAAAGAGGAGGTGTCTTCTACGAGGAGGGAATCTTAAGGAGTTTCTAGGAACTTTAAATATAAGATTCTTTGATGTAAACTAAAACTACTTTTCATAATTCATAATTTTGGCAATAAAATCTTAATTTGAACCCCCTTTTTTGTAACTCTGTAGCTGAAGCCGATGGCGAGATGAAATGAAGGCATGAAAAATGCATTGCAAGGAGTTGAAGTGGATGGATGAATGGTTGGATGGATTGTGGGATGGATTGTGGGTTGGATTGTGGGTTGAATGGACTTGGTTGCTTGGATAGAAGAGAAGGATGAAGAGGAGGAGGAGCAAGATGAGGAGGAGAAGAAGGAAACCTCTCTCTGGCTGGCTGGCTGGATGAGTGATTGATTGTCCGCCGGCTGCCGGCCATTCAAGTGGTGCAATTGCTCGTAATGGCTTTGCATATAATGGAAATCATCAGCATCGCAGGAAAGAATCCAGAACATACATCCTTCACCCACATTGCTTGATTCCTAGCTTATTCCTTTGTTCTTCAGATATCCTAGAAAATGTTACACTTTCTTTCTAAGCAGGAATTCTACTATTTTTTTAGTTTTTAAATCCTTAAATCATATTTTCTACTTACTCTCCGCATCCGTGTAATCGCCGCAGTGCTCCTGGTTCGACCTTAGGCACAGTTTAACCCTCACCACAGGACTATCATCCTCGAGAGCCAAACTATTCAGTCCATGGTTATCCTCCTCATCGCTGATGGTGTGTCCCAATGCACGTCCTCCTCCCAGCCTCCTGGCACCATTCAAACGCTCCAAGACCTTCTCCTTGTGCGTGGGTCCAGCGCCGGACAACTGAAGATTGTCCAAGGTATCCACCACTTCCCAGGCAGGCATCGGAGTGTCGGCATTGACCATGCTCTCCACCACAGCCATGAGGGACAGACAGGTGGCACCCACATCGATGCCCAGGGTGCGTGTGCTGGGCTCATAGGTCACCTGCAGGGGCGGTGGAATCCTGCTGACCTTGGTGGTAACCAAAATCTCACTCGAGTAGGGAGAATTACTCTTGGGATTCAAAGCCTTCACCTTGAAGGCATAACTCTGATGCTGCTCCAAGGAGGTGACCTTGCAGGGAATGTCCCGCTGGCAATCGACCTCCACCCAATCCGAATTCGAGTTGGCCATGTTGGTACAATCGGGGATCACTTGCTCCTCCCGGGGCATGGCCACACGTCGATAGCTGACAAAGAACTTGGTCTTGCTGAGGCCACCATCGAAACCGGGATCCCAGCTGAGGGAAACATAGTTGTGGCCGACATCGGTGGCCCGCAGATTGGTGGGCTTCTCTGGCGGACCCTTCTGCTGTAGCCGAATGGGTGCCCGAATGGTATCCAGGGTATTGGCCACCCGGCAGGTGTATTCTCCATAATCCGAATGCGTCAGCGAGTTGATCTTCAAGACGGAAGTGTAGATATCATTGTTGTCGGTGGTGGTACTGATCTCATAGTGTCCATCCGAGGACATGGTCAGGGGAGAGGGATTGTTGCCAAACTGCCATTGGAATTCGGGCTTGGGATAGGCCTGAACCTTGCACACAACCTCTGCAGTCTCGCGGATATCAAAGGCCACCTTGTTGTACTGATGCAGGACAATGGGTTCATGTTCGATCCTCAGCTGCATCGACGAGTTGGCGGAGTTGACTTCATTCTGATACAGACACGTGTACAGTCCACGATCTCCAGGAACCAAGGCATTGCCATTGGGTCGGGCTTTGCCTCTAAACTTGAGCTGACTCTGGACAGTGACCATGCCATTGAGGCCTTGATCGGGATTGGTTTGCACTTCGTATAGGTTTTCCTCGGGCAGGATCTCCATGCCATCCTTCAGCCACTTGACACTGGGAGCCGGCTTGCCCTTGGCACTGCAGGTCACCGTGTAATCCGTATCCGCCACCCTTCTTGTCATGTGTTGCTGCAGCTTGGCCAGGAATTGTGGGGGTTGATGAATCTCCAGGACAATGGTGGCCATCATGCCGATTCCTAACTCATTCACAGCATGACAATGATACTTTCCCTCGTTGCCCAGATGAGCTTTGGGTATGGAGTACTGTGGACCTTGAGCCAGGATCTTCTGGGTGCTTGAGAATTCGCCATCCATGTCGCGGAACCATCTGTACTGAGGCACTGGCCAGCCTGGGGGATTGGCAGCACAGGTGAGGGTCACACCATTGCCCACATGAACCACCGGCTTGTTGGGTGTAATGTAAGCCTGGCCAGGACGATGACGTACCAGTAGGGCCACCGTGGAGTTGCCCACTCGCTCGCTACGCTCCATACCCTGGCTCTGCATTATGTTGACCGCCCGGCAGATGTAGTTGCCGGCGTGCTCAGCTCGCACAGAGTTCAGGGTCAGCACATCGCCACTATGGCGGAAATCGGGGGCATTCTCCTTGAGCCATTCAATGGTCACCGGCGAGGGATTGGCCGTAACATTGCAGCGAATGGTCACAGTGTCGCCTTCCTCGGCTTCCCTGGTCTTGGACTCAATCACCACCGTGGGCGGATACAGAATGTCCAGGATGAGCTCCTGCTCTCCCGTCTTGCCAAGACCATTGTCCGCTATGCAGGTGTATTTGCCAGCATCCCCAGCACTCACCCGATGGATGGTATGGACCAGGGAGGAGCTGATGAAGCGACCATTGCGATTCCATCGAACATTGGGCACCTTGGGTTTGGCATCCACGTTACACTCCAGCTTGGCAGTCCGGTCACGTTCCACCCGCAAAGGATTCTCGGGTCCGACCTCAACGCGGGGATAATCTGGAAGGGGGAAAAAAGAGAAAAACAGCGAAAATTAGTCAAGTCACAGAGGCCAAATCAGTGGAATCAAAGCAAACCACCGACGAAAGCATGAAAATTAATAAACACGCAGCATTTTTGGCATAATCAGGCGGCATAATCCAAACTTCTAATTGAATTAATCAGGGGGAGAAAATGAGAACTGGAGGGGAGGAGAATTGGAGAAGCTACAGGAGCTGTAGAGCTTTCGAGCTGTAGAGCTTTCATGATTAGTCTCAAGCTGGTCTCTGATTAGACACGAAATTTGCAAATTATTAATTAAACTAATGAAGTGTCTGAAGGTCGGCACAGGCCAAAATTCCGCCAAGGGTCATTAGCAATGGGTCTTAGGGTTGGGTTTTGTGGGTTTAATTTGCAGTTGAAATAAGTAAGAGTCGCGTTCAAAGGGTTTATTTGATGGGGAAAGGAGATATCTTTGAGAAAATTATATTTTTTATGGTTGAATAAATGTTGAAGAACTGATAAATTAATTAATAAACAAAAGAAAAACTGATCAATTAATTAATATTCAATAGAGGAGGCATTACTTATATATTTTAGATAAAATATTTTAAAATTAATTTATATATTTCTTACTTTGAAAATCCCTTTGAAATAACTAACTTTATACATTTATTTTATTTTATTAGGTTTGCCAGAACACTTTTTTAATATTATTCTAAAGTATTCTTGCTTTTAATTAAACAATTTACTCCAATTAAATTAGCCAACTATTTTTTACCAAGTTTCCTATAATTAAACCTTTGTTTTAAGCCTCACATTCCTCAGTTAAAAGCTCCTGTTTCTGCTGCCGGCATTTACGTTTTGTCATCAGGTAATTTTCCAACACAGTTTCCTCTTTACCCTTTACCCTTCTCCCTTTTTCTATTTTTTAGATCCCCGCCTCTGCACTTTCCAACTGGAATCTATCCACGAGTTAAGAGTCCAAGTTGGAGTAGCTAAAAAGACTGCAAGTCATAGTCCAACATTAGTGGCCTCTTATGCACCGCAAATGGCGTGAAATTATGTCTGTTCCCGGGCACTATGCCTCTTCTTCACTTCTCCCCGGAATCTTGGAGGCTTCTCCTCCACACCGCAACCACTTTGTAATTAACTGCCCCCTGGATAAGTGTCGCCAGCTGCCTAATGACTTTGCTCATAAACTCGCACTCGCCGACCGACCATTGACAGGAGGACAGGAGGAAAAAGAGCAAAGAGAAGGTACTAGTGGAGGAGGAGGTGCAGGAGGAGGAGCAGTCGTCTCAAGAACTTTACTTGCCGCAATCTCGAGAAACTGGAGCAGGCGACCCACGGTCTGTGGGCCCCTCTCTCCTCCAACCACAGTTCATAGTCTCAGCCTTACTCAATCTCCTCCTCCTGCTACCTTTACTCTTCCTGCAAATTATAGTAAATTGCGTGATTCTCCAACCGGGTTTACCTTTTATGAAAGGTCTGTAAAACTCTGAGCGGGTTCAGGTGTCTCGCTTTCACAGAGAAACAAATTTGTTGAATTAAGTTGTGGTTGCTTCAAGTATTTATAAATATGAATATTTACTAATAGAAGGTAAGAGAAAGGACTTTAAAAAACGTATTTGGCTTTATCTATTTTAAGTTTATATATTTTTCAAATCTTAAGAGAAATTCTGATGTTTTGGCTAAGAAAAAGAATATTTTTAGATATTTTAGGGTGTTGTAAACTTGCTTGTTTAATAATTCACATATTATTCAAGCAGATTTTCTACTAAAAAAAACATACTTTAAGCAAGTTATAATCAATATTCTAGCTAACTTTTAATTTCTTTTCAATTAAGAGTAAAGTAACTGCTAAAATTTTGGTTTCAATTCCGTTAACTTCCTAATATAATATATGGAACTTTATACCCATATTTCAGTCAAAAGCTTACAAAACAATGAAGAAGCCATTTCCGACCCTATAAATCATATATATTCTTGATCAGCATCAACAGGCGCTTCTTTCTAGCCATGTCCGGAAGAAATCTATTTTTTGGCCATTTTCACAAAAATTGATAAGGGGTTACATCATTAAAATTCTGAAAAATGGCCAAAAATTTGGATTTTAATTTTAGTATGCAGATTTGTTACCCTATCAAAAACTAGGAAATAGCAGTTTTCCGAATTGAATTTGATCATTTTTTGGCTGAGTTATGAAGATTTCAAATTTGGCATCTGACCCTATGGTAACCTTTAAGGGTATACAAACTTTGGGTGGCCGAAGTAAGCTTTCTTTCTGGTTTATATTAATTTTAATGTTTGTATTTATATTTTATTAATTCAATTTTATATTTTCTTATTTATTTTATATTTTAATTTAATTTTCTACATTTTTTTCTCAGTGATTTTTGAAGGTACCTCGAAAGTCTCAGCCTCGGACTCGCGTCTTTTGCGTGTTTATGTGCGTGTAATTACTTTTGATTGTCTGGCTTTGTTCGCCGGCGACCGGCAACCATTAAAGCATTGTTTGGTTAGAAATCAAGACCTGCTTCTGTTCCATTTTGTTCCGTTCAGCACTGTATAGTACATATACAAACATATATACATATAAATATGTCGGAGATATCCGTTATTTAATTTAACCGTAGTCGAGCCAGCGAGTTCTGTTCGCCTGCGCAGTCAAATCGAATCTGTCATCACGCCACTTTTCCTGTGGCCCTTTCACCTTTTCTTACTTTTCACTCAGATGTCATTCCTAGACAATCTCAAGCTGTCTCTCTCATTCTCTCCTATTGTTGCGACAGACGAACAGACCTCACTCAGTAACACTCCTGTTACCGACTCAACTGTCATTGCGCCTGCGCGCCAGCGACACCTACAGGCTACCAATACCTGAGCATGCCGAATAGTTCTGTTGCCATAGCAACAAGCTTTCCAAATTTGCACTTAGCAACCAACTCGCCGACACGGCCATCCTGACAATTCACGCGTCCTCGCGTGACGTGTCTTCTAATAGCTCTAAACATAACTGTCATTTTCATTTATCATTCTCTCTTTTTTTCTCTCTTTGGTCTCAACTTAACATTTCATTTTATCTGTTTTATTCATGTCAAATAAGCTTTACTTTTATTTCTTCTCGCCACTTCATTCTCTTCTCGTACCAAATCTGTATCTTCTTTCTCTGCTCGTACCACAACTCTTACTCAACATCTCTTCATCAATTTATACAGGCTCTTGCTGCACACTTTGCAACGCTCACACGCACCTCTTGCGTCACGGTCTCTCTGGACCCTCACAGCCTTATAAATGATTCCACCAACGAGTGCCTCAGTCGGCGATCTCTCGCTTACACTTCTAGTGTCTTCAAATGTTAGTTTGGCAGGATAACCTTTCGAAACCATAGAGTACAAGCTCTTTTCGTATTTCAAAAGGCTCCGCTTCACATATTCTGACCATAGGAATAAAGTAGGCCCTGTTTCATGTGATCCGACACGGCCTTCCTGACAAATCACACGTCCTCGTGTGTTAACTTTAAATCACAGTATTCTAAAATTTCGGTACTCGTTACATTTTATTGTCAACAAACATTTCATTAATTTTCTAAACATAAGTATTGAGGCATTTAGACAAAATAAGCATCTTGGTTTCATGATAACATAACAAATTACATCTTCATTTTAATCATAATTTACAATTCAGACTTCTCTAATTACATAGCTTTATCAACTGGTGTATTTCCTTTTACACCCACATACTGACCCCCGCCATAACAATTCCTTCTGTTATGGTGCGGTCTCCACTGACCCCCGCCATAACAATTCCTTCTGTTATGGTGCGGTCTCCACTGACCCCCGCCATAACAATTCCTTCTGTTATGGTGCGGTCTTTATATCCCCTCTTGGGATTCCAAGGCATCAACCGTGCCATCCATATCATCATTCCCCACATGGGAATCAGACGCATCTCCACTTGAGTCGTCTAAATCTTTAATCAACTTTAATCTTTAATCAATCAACGTCATTGCTTATTTTGTCTATTTGGCTATGCCCTCAAAAACTCATGCGCATACTTATAAAAGTTCGCTTACTTGACAGATATCTCAAAACATATCAGCCACCATCAAGCTTTTCTATAAACTCTGTTTGGTGCCGATCTTCATTTTCATTTTCCATCTTCATTTCTTTCTCTTTTCTCTCTCATTCTTAACATATTTTCCATTTTCATTTTTCATTTTAAATTAATCTTGCCCTATCAAAATTAGTGCTCTTCCGAACCAGCATAACGTAACTTTAAATTTCTCTTTCTTTATACTTTTCTCTGTGTCATGTGGTGGTATCAAGCCCAAAGGGTGGGTCCGATTGGCATCTCTTAAGGGCTTGCATTGGTTGCACTACTAACTGTGCAGTTCGCCGCAAGTTGCACCCCGCCAAGAGCATCTTCCCATCACCTCTGCGGTCCTGGTATCCAGCCAGATGACTACTTTACAACTTTACACATGATACAATTTTCAACAATCTTTAAACTTAGTCATTTCCAACAATTCTGATAAATATTGCTGGGTCTATTTTTTCCAACCCAAACACATAACGGATTTATAACCTTGATTAATAACTATCCAACAAAATTTAAGGGACACTACTGGCAGATAACATTGCCTCACACCTCTCTGTATTCTTTAAAATCCCTCTTCGTAACTCAAGTTAATTTCAATTATTTTTAGTTGTTTATAAACTATACCAATAAATCCTGAATCCTGAAGTTGATCAGTCGGTCATTTGAGATTTCCATTCTAAGTTCAGACGTTTTTCTGTCAATTTATTTTTATTTATCGGAGTTAAATCAGTCATGTGAATTCTGGACACAAAAAGAATTCCACAATTGCCTTGCGCTTTCTCTTCCTCTACTCTATGATGCACTTCAGTTAATTTTTTTTTTTGTTTAGAAATGATTACATCTGCAATAAGTATAGACTACAAACTCTCATCTGAACAAACAATGCCAAAAATGTCAGAATAATTGCACGCCAACCA